AAGAAGCAGAAGTTTGGTGCAGTTCTTGTCGACCTAACTGCGGCATTTGACACAGTATGGCACCGTGGCTTATACCTCAAGACCCTGCAGACCATTCCAGATGTAAGAATCGTGAAATTCATCATGCTGCTTGTACAAGACCGGTCATTTGTCCTCGAAACATCAAACGGCGAATGCAGTAGGAAGAGGAAACTCCGCAATGGTGTGCCGCAAGGCTCTGTCCTCGCTCCGATACTTTTCAACATCTATGTCTCTGATATGCCCAAAGGGGAATGCATGCAGTATTCCTACGCAGACGACACCGCACTGGGGTTCAACAACCACTCCTTCGAAGCAATCGAAACATCACTGGAGAAGGACCTGAAAATGCTAGCCGAGTTCTTCAACAGATGGCATCTCAAGATAAGCATACCAAAGACTGTATCCTCCGTCTTCCACCTGGCTAACCGATGCGCCAACCGAGAGCTGAATATCTCACTAGATGGGTCTAGGCTGAACTTCGTCTCAACACCAAAGTACCTAGGAGTCACTCTTGACCGAAGCCTCACCTTCCACGAGCATGCCAAAGCCACAGCCCAAAAGACCCAAGCCAGAGTGTCTCTCCTAAAGAAGCTTGCAGGGACCGGATGGGGAGCTAATTTCACCACCCTTCGCACCTCCACTCTAGCTCTTGCCTTCTCCACTGCCGAGTATGCTGCACCTGCATGGAGCCACAGCACCCATGTACACAAGGTTGATGTTGTCCTCAATGACGCTATGAGACTAATCAGCGGAACACTCACTGCAACACCAGTCAGCAACCTGCCAATATTATCTGGCATACCACCAGCTCAGCTCAGACGAGATGCGCAGTATGCTAAGCTTGCCCAAAAGCATGACAGAGATAAATGCCTTGTTCCTGCCCCCTCTGCCTTTGAAGGACAGCGTCTCCCTAGAAGACACTTTGCAACACAGGCTGCTGAGCTGCGGCCTGAGAACCCCCCCTCCACCTTAGCCACTTGGATAACAAAACGCTGGTCAGACCAGTGGAATTCGTCCACTACCAACCTGAAGGAGTTCATCCCAAAGCCCTGTGCAAAACCAAGTGGCAGCGACCTCCCAAGAAAAGCCTGGGTCAACCTAAACCGTGTCAGAACTGGAGTTGGCCGCACACAATATTTCCTACATAAAATTGGAGCTGAATCATCACCAAACTGCGCCTGTGGAGAGATCCAAACTATGGATCATGTCATTGATGATTGTCCGATCTACAAATCCCCCCACGGCGCTTCCGGACTTCGTGAGCTCGATGATGAGACGATCTGTTGGCTCAATAAGGATCTTCCTATCTAGATGATGTACTCCCTGATATTCTTTGCACGAACGAACGAACGACTAACACCACCATCACCACCACCACCACCACCACCACCATCACCACCATCATCATCACCATCATCATCACCACCACCACCATCATCATCATCATCACCACCATCAACATCATCATTACCACCACCACCACCATCATCATCATCATCATCATCATCATCATTACCACCACCATCAACATTAATATCATCAACATCATTATCATGAACATGGTCAACATGATCGTCATCACACACCGATATCAACAGAAATAATCATCAATTATCATACACATCACCAGTGACAACATCATCATCATCTCCACCAGCGTCAACATCATCATCATAATCACACATCGATATCAACTGAAATAATCCTCAATTACCATATACATCACATAAACAACACACCAGTCTACAAATAGTCCATTTTAGTTGAAGCAAAATTAAAATTTTATTTAACACAGCATACTGCCATTTTCTCTTCTCCAAAACATGTCAATTTAAAGACAATCATTACACACATCTACCACTGAATAAAACTGTTTTGTTTGACCTGGGTTATATAAATATTGCATCAACCCAGTATCATACATGTTGAAAATGTCACTTCTTTTGTGTATTAATGGTGTGTGCTGCCCAGCTGCTTAGGTTAAAGTAGCTTGCACTGTCGATCAATTTCCAAAATGGTTACAAAGTATAAATCAAATGTTTAGGTTGTTATCCAAGCAGTCATGTGTACTGTATCCAAACCAATTTACATGTATATGGCACCATATATCTGTTTAAAAAAAAAAAATCAAAGGTGAAGGCTATTCTACTTACATCAGCCTTTTTAACGGTTGATTTATATGACTTTCCTCGAACTGAACTTATCTAAGATATTTCTGGTCTGAAACAAATGTTTAAATCCTGTTTGAGCCAAACAGAAATAGAAATTTGGACTACCAGGAAATATCACATAATGCAATAGACTAGATTTCATTAGATACCGGGTATACAGAGATACTCAAAGAATCAAGTGCAAATCAAATGCACAATGCAATTAATGATGAGTGATGAGAACCAGGAGTCTCAGCAAATTCTGTCTACTATAAATACAAGCCTCCAAATTGCATCAAAAGAAAATTACTGTTCTGAGGACAATTCTCTTTTAAATATTATAAAATTGCCTATTAAAATCAGCTCTTTGTATCATTATATCTACAATCATACATTTCTTGCCATTTACCTATAACATCTTCTGATAAAAGTGATGGATTTCAAATCACAAAGTGATTTAATAAGACCCAACAATTTTGTAAATACAGAAGTGCTAAACTGCATTAAAATGGCCCATAAAATACAGAGGGCATCATATTAAAAGAAAAGCCTAATAGGATACATCAAACTTTTTCATGGATTAAAGGATAAAATATTTTTATATTCAAATTTGATAATTCTGATACAAATTACATTTAGAATTGGTTAGTCTGCAAGAAAAACCCAGGTAAAATCCTTAGTGATAGTGTTAATTCATAAAATACAATTTCCTTATTATTATCACATATCGTATTGAGAAATAAAAAATGAATAATTCTTGTCATAAGTTAACTATGGCAATTCATGGGCACTACATATTTACAATACAGGAAAATCCACATGCATTAGAACCATAAGTATCTGATTTTTAGACTCGCCTTTGCAATTAATCAATCTTATTTTTGTGTATCAATGAGCATAAACACAAATCTTTCAAAATAACAAAAAGAATATTTTACAAATGTTAATAGTTATTTACATTTTGTTTAAACTGTATATACATAATTTTTAGTAAAGCATATTTCATTTGATATAGACTTTACATATAATATATTTACCAAGACAATAATTGATGCTAAAAACTGCCATGCTTATGGATAGTGAGTATTCTAATATGTTACAGATGTGACAAACATTGAAAGTGGAATAGATGAATTAAAGGAAATGAAGAAGAATTGAAAAAAAGAAGAAGAAACAAATGAAATGGAAATTAAGATTTGGCTACACGGACTGATATCCTCGTCTTCTTTAACTGTTATTCTTTTGAATGAGAGTTGAAGAGATTGGAGATGAAATAAAGAGATGGAAGGCGGGACAGGAGAGCGAGAAAGAGAGAGAGGGAAAGAGAGGGAGGGGAGAGAAAGGAAGAGAAAGAGAGGGAGGGGAGAGAGAGAGAAAGAAAAAGAGAGAAAGAGAAGGAGAGAGAGATAGAGAGAAAGATGGAACATGCTACAATGAGATAGATAGACGAGTGAATACACTGAAGATGACAAAATACTGAAAATAAGACACCAGTACTTGAAATCTCAAATATATTGCCTAACCAAAACAAAAATAATAATAATGGGCTCAGGAAAAGGCAACAAATGAAAGTATATTTCTAAAAAGCAGCCAGAAATTTTCAGTAAAATTGTCAGTATCGCTTCTACAGTATTTGGTTGTTTACTAAGAGTGAGTGAACATTGAATCATTGAAATATAATAATTGGAAACTCGCTTTTTGGGGTTGCTTTTTTTTCTTAGGTTAAAAGGTATGAGAAAACCAAACAATCATTAAAAATGATAAAATGGAAGTTGAGGGTATTAATGACAGAACTTCCTATGAGATTGCATTTCAGTACTAGCAGCAATACAGTGCAAACATAAAAATTATGATTTAACTTGCATCATTTACATACATGATTTGGGGGGGGGGGGGGAGGGGAGTATCTTTGTCTGCTTATCACTGAACTCACAGAAACAATAATGGCGATGCTGTTGATAAAGAAAATCTTCCCCTAACAAAAACACAAGCCCACCCCCCCCCTCCCCGAAATGCGTGAATGTACAAGCATGGTACAAATTTAAGCATAAATTGCCTCTCATATTACTGTCATTGTGAACAAATTATAAACTTATATAATTTTACATCTGCATCTGCATACAGTACAGAAAGGTTTAAGTAGGAATTGAGATCTTTTAGATAAGCATTTTAGATAATGAAAGAGTGTGCACCCATGTTGTTGTAGCACGACTGCCGTCATTAATTAATTAATTAATTAATTAATCATATTGAGCACAATGATGATTTAGCGTAATGATGATTCAACATATCATCCTCACAATTAGATAATCTACATGAACACTCATTTGACATCACCACAAACATGGATAAACATTCACACAGTGGTATTCTTTGCCCTGTTAACGGTGTTTTCACAACACAGTATATGTATATATATACAAAAAGACGGAATGATCTGCTCTTAAACATACCCTTTTACAACTAGTCTGTATGGAGCTAGAAGGGCATTAACACACATACTTTAACATCCTTCTGGCTCTGAACAGATGAAGTATTGTAATCCCCCTGTAAAAAGATACATGTACAATGTTCAAGGGCAAAAAGTCAAAAGAGTTGTGAAAGTACAGGGAAAGTTTTGCAGTGTTACATGGCCACATCATATGTATGTTTCAAGGTAAAAAAAAAATGAAAGGGAGAAAGAAGTGGATCAAGAATGATTGGACATAAGCTGTGTTTTCATTTTTAGGTCTACTTTTAACCAAGCTTAACTTAGCTTTGCAATTGCGACTAGTGAATTCATGCTCTAAATCCTATTGACAGAAATAAATACAACAAATTCTTTTCTAAATTCTAGACAATCTAGACACGATGCCTATTGGCAGGCTCATGTTTTAAAGAACTATTTCAGCAAACAGCAGTAGGGGCATAAACAAATCCATTGCAAAGTTTAGAGCATGGTGAATTGGCAACTTGGATAAAAAGTGAAGTGCAATCAATTCCATTCAAATAAGCGCATCAACATATTGGATGGTACTTTAAAAATTTACTTTTGATTAGTATCATTGTAATTATTGTCAAAATCAAATTGTGAATCATAAAATATAAATATATTCTCAGTTATAAAAACCCTGTGACTTGCCAATCCCTTTGATAATTTAATACTTCATAAGTTTCATAATTTACTTTCTAGATTTTTTATTACATCATTCATTTTAAAAGTTGTTAAATATGTAAGATTTAGCAATTATGGAATAATGCTTTACTGCTGGCCAGCACAGACTATTAAAAGAATGTATTTCTAGAGGTCAAACAAGCATAAATAGAACAAATCTAATCTTTATCAATTTGACATAGAGCAGCACAACGACCGTGGTATTAATGCATAGAGCATACTACTGTAGCTGAAATTATGTGCAGAAACCCCTTTATACATGTATTCAGTGTCCCAAAGTGGACTGTAAGCTACACACTTTACAGGGGACAACAATACTTGAATGACTTTCAGGAGAAACTTATGGTGTTTGTCAGCAGAGATATATAAGATCTGCCATAGAGGGAGACAAACAGGACACAGGAGAGATGCACAATGACATCACAAGAGGAAGAAGTACACACTGGCAATGTCTGGACATGTGATGGGGCTAGTCTGTCTGTCCGGCTATCTGCCAGACGATGAGATGACTCCTCTCACTGCGAGCTGACCGGGACGAGTTTGTGAGGACGTCGCCATAGTTACCCGATCCCTCATCTTCATCTTCACCATCACCTACGAGTGGAAGAGAAAAATCAAGATCATAGAATTGATTAAAAATAATAATGATAATAATGATAATACGTTCAAACATGTATAGAAATTTTGCCCAAAGAGACACAAAAGTTGGTCATTTTTTTATACAGGTGGTCATTAAAAAAGTTTTGACCGTCATGAAATTGGATTGACAAAAGTTGCCCCAAATTATATTCACTGAACGGTTTCACATCCACACAAGAACCAGACATGGGTAGAACTATCATTGGATACCTTCAAGAAGACTGTAAAAGCCTTGCATCATCAATGGCATTCACAAAACCTAAGTTGACGTTCAAGATACAGTCCAAGCTATATCTTCACAATGAAATGATATGCAAGTGATCTTCATGTACTGGGGCCAGTTTCCCGAAAATGTAACTAACTTTTTGGACATCCCGTTGAGACGTGTGTTATAGAATTAACACACGCTTCTGTGGGATGTCCACCAACTTATACTTATGACGATTTTGAGAAACTGGCCCCAGGTACCAAAAGTACAATATCCAATGAGAAATACTGGTAATAAAAGAAAACATAAATACACATCTTTTTATTGACAGACTGTCTTTTCTACACAAATGGTAGCTGCAGCAGGTTTCACTGAACAGTATTTCACTCACCAATTCTGAAGTCGATATAGCCCTCTCCTCCACTGAGTACAAGCATGTTCTTTGTAGTAAGGTTATCAGGAGGGGGTTGATCGGTCTTGGTTGGGGAGGGGGCGCTTCCAACGCTAGCTGTAGCTATGCCACTGGGTGAACCTAATCAGGATAAAACATGTATAGATAGTTAACCCAGGGATTTCACTTTTAATTGAACCCATTGACTGTGAAGTCTTCTCATTCTCAGGGATGACTACAGGAAAAAAACCTAGTTCCTCTTGGTGATGGGTTCACATAGGTTCAAATAGGTTATTATTGCATACTGTAAACGCTATTATTTTCAAGCGATTAATTTTTCGCGCTGAGCGACCCCAAAACATATTTGCTGGTTCTTAAATTCGCGTTGCACCAAATTCAGCCCGTTCAGTACATACATAAGAAGTCATGTTTATATTTTCGTGGGTTCTAAAATTTGTGGACACCAACTTTAGCGCGAAATCCGCGAAAAATTAATGTACCGCGAATATTTCCGCGTTTACAGTATTACAAGTATTACACCCTCTCTATTCCTCCTGAATAGAAGATCTTCTATCCGTCCCCGAGTTCTCTTGCGCTCTTCCAGCTCTATTTTGTTTCCTGCACGCAGACGACATTCTTTCAGCGCCCTCTGGAAACATCAATCAGCTCTTTTCCTTTACCCGTCATCGAATCCACATTCCACAAGCTCACTCTCACCATCTCCTGGGGAGTGTTTCACAAAGATTCTAAGTCAAACTTAACTCTAAGTTCAAATTCAAAATTATGAAGATCCATTTGTAGCCTAAAAATTAAATATATTCAAAAGCAAAAATTGAAGTATTTTAGACTTTTCATAAATTCCACATCAAGAACATGAAATCTCCCATGATAATAGAAAATATGAATGATTTGAATCAACATTTGACACCTTTTAAAATAACTTTTACAAAATGTTTTCAAAGATGCTAACGGCTTTCCATAACTGTTAAAGGGATCGTTAACAATGTTAAATCTGAGATACACGGCCCTACGTGTTATCAGTGTCTGTGATATGGTGTAATATTGAAGCCCTAAAAAAATCACGCTTCAAAATGATCAAGAAGTGCCTCAAAAAAGTAAATATCTTTGAGTGACCAGTTTTACCATACTCGTTTTTTCCAATAGACTGTAGTGTTATGAAAACCGTTCAGCGAACGGTTTTCAAAATTTGTAATTTCAATCATAAATATCTTGATAATCAGACAGGCGATCGGCTTGTAAAAGTCATGGAGTTCCTGACTGACCTAAAGGTTTATAATTATCATTGCAGCATGAGCTAAATCCAGGATTTATTTTCAGAATCTGAGACAAAGTTACAGGATCCCTTTAAGTCCAACTTAGAGTTAAGTTTGACATAAGATCTTTGTGAAACACCCCCCAGCTGTCTTTTCACGCCAACAGGGACCCACTGACGCGCAATGCTTTCTAGGGACACCCCAGTATGTTTCACAATCTTACCAAAGAATTCAGGCATAACGATTCCTTGATGGTAGAGATTTCACAGCGGGATGCCCTATCTGACACTAACCACAGCCGTCGGCCATGGGCCTAGGTTAGATACTTTCCACAGCTGGCGTTTCTATAACCTTCCTGTTGTGAGCGAGATCGGAAGCTCTTTGACAGGTCATGTTTTTAAATCCTGTAGGGTGCTCACTCATCTTTCTCACTCTGAGAGAGTGGGAGTCAGTTATGCCCCAACTTCCTGACTTGGAAGGTTGTACTAGATTACATGCTACTGGTAGCAAGTGGATCACACCTCACCTGACCTGGGGGGTGTTTCACAAAGATCCTAAGTTGGACTTAACAATTATGGAAAGCTGTTAGCATCTTTGAAAATATTTTGTAAAAGCTAATTTGAAAGGCATAAAATATTAATCATATTTCTTATTATCAAGAAGATTTTATGTTCTTGATGTGGAATTTATAAAAAGCCTAAAATACTTGATTTTTCACTTCTGATTATATTTTATTTTAAGGCTACAAATGGCTCTCCATAATTTTTAAGTCCAACTTAGAGTTAAGTTCAACTTCGGATCTTTGTGAAACACCACCCAGATCACTAAAGCCCACCACACAATATATGATCTTCCTGCAATCTGATTTTGGATGAAATGGCAATCATAAACAAACATCATCTTCCCAATGTAGGTCTTAAATACTGATAAGAATACTGACAACCAGAATGTTAGTGCATTCAAAGCCCTTCAGTCAGAATAAAAGCAGAATCTGCTTAAAATCGTAGACAATCGCACTACATGTACATCATCACTATGATTCTGAGCCGATCTAGCTATTCCTCCTCCAAGGAAGCTTGAAATCCATTGAAATTTTAATTTTATTAATCAAATGTCAAATCATTGACCATTACGAGTTTAGAAGTTTGAATGTTCATATCAAATTCAATTGCCGACTCTTCCAAAATCGGATCATAGTCAGATCGTAAACTGTGCAGTGGGCTTAACACTTGAAGTATCATTAATATTATTATTACAGTATTATTATCATTATTCTGACAAAAAAAGACCGGGCAGTAGCCTTGTTTTGCCAAATTATTAAAATGCACTAAATAACATTTTAAACATTTGAAAGAACATTTATTTACGGTACTTAAAAAGTATTCTTGTGCTTAGTGTGACCTTACATCTAATAAATAATTTAATTCCCTCACCCTCTACTGCTGTCTCAATGAAAGGCTATGATGAAAGCAAAATACTTCTATACACACCTAATTATACCTTTACTATGTGAATAGGCCATTTTCGTAATGTAATTTAATTTAATCTAATTTAATCCACAAATATTTGTTAAGTGCCTCGTTACAAATTATTTAATTCACCTGTTTAACAAATAATTGTATTTTAATAGTCAGAATGCGAATAGCATACACTGCATGTTGCAAGGTAGGGCAGTCCATAATGTTTGTCCTACCTAGCAACAATTAATGTACGCATTTTGACAAGTGAAATACAATTATTCGAACAGGTGAATAGAAGAATTTGTAGCGAGGCACTTAAAAAAAGATTTGTGGATTGAATTAAATTAAATTTGAAAATGGTCTACTCAAATACTTATGAAAATAGAATGTTTTCAGATTAGTAAATCATAAAGGAATCTTAGTCATAATCAGGCAACTTATTACATATCAAAAGTCTGTTGGCGTATCCAGTGAGGAGTTTGGGTTACAAGGGTGGGGGGGGGGGGGGTTTGATTAGATAATACTAGTGAACATGCAATAATATATCATGTTTTAGCAGCGTGATGGTTATGGGGATTTTAAGAACATAACTAAATAAGATTAGATAATACTAGTGAACATGCAATAATATATCATGTTTTAGCAGCATGATGGTTATGGGGATTTTAAGAACATAACTAAATAAGAAAAATATAACAAATAATATATTTATGTTAAATAAGAAAAATATAACAAATAATATATTTTTGTTAAATGAATACATAGAGTATAACACCGGATGCAATTCAGAATAACTGATAACTCAAGTAGCATAGAATATTGGGATGGGGGGAGTAAACAAATTATTAGTGTAAAAATAAAGGAGAATTATTCAAGTGTCCTGAGGTGATTAGTATAAAAATAAAACCAAGATATTTCACTGTTGTGTAGACACACATTCAATACACAGACAATGTTTTATTGTTTAAAAGCTAAAAGAAGAACATTCTGATCTACAATTTTGTGAGTCTGGAGTCTGGATTCTGAACGGAGCAAAAAGGGCATATTTTGATAGCAATCTCTTATGTCCATAGTTGCGATTAATGACACATTTCTAGTTGGTATATAAACAGCATGTACATGTCGCACAGCTCATTAATATATTATTGTGACAGTAGATTAATTTTCATTTTTCATATTTTCAAAACAGCTCAGGTGGGTAGAACTGTATTGACTATATCAACAAACTTTATCTGAAATTTAAGTGAATTATTTCTATGAAGTAAAAACTATGGGTGAAGACCTTTAACATATCAATGTTAAGTCAAAGGTCTACTGTTGGGGAAAAGATCAAGGGGTGCAGCATCACAAATAGGTAAAGTGCATGCATGTACAAGCTTGCAACCAGCAACATGCAAGAGGGAAATCTCTGGAATACAACTACCGAGTAGGCAAACAAGAAAAAAAAGAAGAAAAGCTCAAGGTACTAGCATGAAATAATTTAACATGTACAGTCAAACCTGCTTTAGTGACCACCTGTCTACAAAGACCACATTTTTTGTTTCCCTTGAAAATGGTTTCATATTGGGCGGTCGCTATAGACAGGTTATACTGTAAAGTTCAATTTTCAATACATGGGCTCCCGTTTGAAATGGAGTACCATACAAATAGATATACCGGTAGTGATTTTTTAAATTTGTACAAAATCTCTCGATTCCATTTTCAATCTGAAATTTCAAGTATAATTAAATGATGGCTGATGTTAAGATGGTTTTTAGAGTGGTTGTAATTCTCTATCCAAAGCCATTTTCGATCGATAAAGGTTTACTTTGTGGCATTCACCAGAAGTTCTGCTTTAAAAGGAGATGATAGGGGGATTAAAGAGAGCAAAAAGGCCAGAGAGGGAGAGAGGCGGGTGAGAGAGAGTGAGAAAGAGAGAGAGAGAGAGAGAGAAAGAGAGAGAGAAAGGCGGGTGAAAGAGAGAGAAAGAAAATCGAAGTGTGACGCACAGGGGTCTCGTTTGACTTCTGTGATGTGAATTTAATGCCTTTTGTTTAAACTGTTCTTGGAACTAGGTCGACTTGGGTAATTATTCGACTGAAAAAGATCTACTAATACAGAGGATTAACAAACGTAAATCCATGAAGAAAAATTGGGACTTGTTATCATCAACTTAAGCGGTTAATCGACACATGCAACGTCAATTTGAGCGAGGTTAACTGTACATAAACAGTTGTTAGAAAGTTAGGAAGTTGGCAAGATAAAAATATTTAAATAAGAAAGAATATGAAAGAATTTTCAAAGAGATAAGGAAATTGATTAAGAGAGAAAGATAGCCAATGACTGAAGGTGCTGAATCATACAAATAGAAAGCAAACAAACAGAAAAAACAACATGCATGGAACTAACACTATGAACATGACGGACAAAGAAAGCGGACAACATAATGGCCCGAATTCACAAAGGAGGTTTGTCGACAAACCTTGGTTTTCGTAAGTCATATGACGCGTTTTACACGTTTTTTACAAACCTGGTTTGAAAAGAACAAAAGGAGGTTTGGCGAAACAAAAGGAGGTTTGAGCTCAAACCTTGGTCTGACTGAGCTCAAACCTTGCTTTGTGAATTCGGGCCATACAGTTCCACATTCTACCCTCAACAATTGCTGTGGTAGACAAAGGAACATCCCTTCATTGGTATTATGTAAAAATGTGTAGAACAGGTGAATATGCATGTGACACCTGTTCTACACATTTGTACATAATAGCAGTGAAGGGGTGTTCCTTTGTCTACCACAGCAATTGTCGAGGGTAGAATGAGGAACTGTGTATTTTGTACGCTTTCTTTGTCCGTCATGTTCATAGTGTAATTGTCTGTTTAGAGTCAAAACAGCATTAAGTCTTGAACATAAACACAGAGTTACTGCCCTTCTGGCTCCAAACAAACAAAATAATCAAATAAACAAATCAGGCAACTAGACAAAACAAACATGCAAACAAAAATATAGATAAGAGAGGGGTAGAGTGGTCAATTCTCACAGTCCACGCCAACAGAACTTACAGTCGTTACCTGGTACAGATACAAAGAACTTGACAGCGTCTCGATGACCATGGAAGGACAGCTGAGCCTGGGTGATACTACAGTATGGAATGGTGCTACCCGCCCGTACGCTGTCTGTCTTGGAGTCGGTGTAGACGCGGATCACGCCCCCGGGACGGGTGCCTCCGGTCGATTTGGGCTTCTTGCCTAAGTAATAATAATAATCATACTCAGTTTTTATATAGCGCTTATTACAATCACTAAGCTCTTCCAAACTTGGAGATTATTACCCCAGCTTTAGCTGTGCTGCCATTACGGCGCTCTAGCTTCTCAAAGAATTAATTCCTGCCAGGTACCCATTTACATCACCTGGGTTGAGCGTGGCAAATGAAGATCAATGTCTTGCCAAAGGACATTAGTGAAAGTGAAAGTTATCTGCAATTATTGTACGAGTTTCATTTGTTTGAAGAAAGAGAGTGATACAGGAATGCTGTATAGATTGACTACAGGTAATAAAACGTGAGAAAAGTTCAAACAGGAGCCATTATCTGTTGAAGAATACTTCAGAATGAAGGCATATCAGTAGTCCCCTCATGGTATGAGACAAGACTATCTCTAGGTTGGACTATGGCGATTAACAAAACTTACTAAAGACCAAAAACCAATCCATCCGAATCCTTTAAATCCTGTTTAAAATTTCACTCTCAAGTACATCGAAGCATTAAATATTATCTTGAAATATACGATGCTGTCGTTGGTTGCTTAAAAAGTAAATTTAATACTAAACAAGTCCAATAACAAAATTAAAAGAGCTGAGCTCGCTAAAAGATGGTCCTCCTCTGTCGACCTCGCACAATCCTCTTCTTCAATGATATCATGAATGTATTAAAGCACTTACTCTCTGATAGAGGTATTGAGATGATGACACCGTTGCCCGTACCAACCCACAGTCTGTTACAGGAGATCATCACAGAGGTGATACGCACAAACGAGAAACCAAGCTTTCCAGTACCTGCATGAACATAGACAAACATAATAGGAAATAATATACAGAGTGAGTAAAAAGCTGCTTATATTTATTTTGAGTGAATTCATACAAATGAAATGTACACAAGAAATAATGGATCATTGATATTGATTTGAGAGACCTTTCAGCATATCTCATGATATACAAGCACTTATAATAAGAATTGATTTAAATTAATCTGCCATTCTGAAGACATACATATCAATAGTGTTTGAATTAATCCATGAGATAATAATAATAATAATAATAATGAAAAAGTTATATAGCGCAGCTTTTATACAAAATATACACAGCTGCTCTGGTTAAGAGCTTCTTTTTAAAAACTAAATTCTATGATTCATTACTAAAAAGCAGCTTCTGTTTATTTTGAGTGAATTCATGCAAATTAAATGACTCAAGACACATGCTACCAGTCATTCTTGATGGTAAGATCAACATTGTTCATAATGCTGCAGAGCATATCTATAAGTATCTATACCGGAGAAAGTTTGTAATACATGAATATATTGAGGAGTCTGTTTTCATGCCCAAATATCAACAACATAATGGCAGAGTATAGAGTACCGAAGCTGTGCCATCATACAAATCTATTTTTAGAATTTCTCAATTTGAACTTCATCTTCCGAAAGAGCATCAAGAATAATGTCTAAATGTTAAAAAACCAATTGAATATAAGTATTGAGTGAATTTTTGATGCTCTTTCAGAAAATGAAGTTTAAATTTGGAAATTCTAAAACTATTTTTTTGATGCATCACACTTGACCACTCTATAAGGGGCATGGCACTCACCGAGCATCTTACTGACATACGGATCTACATCCACGTCTTGGAGGTGTTGATGGGTATGGGCGTGGTAGAGACGTAGGGTACTGTCTAGACGGATAGAGACCCATACTCCATCACCCTGCCATGAGAGAAGGCGCACCTGACTCTCCTTGCGTGGATGGGCATCAAACGATTTCTGTGGAAAAATAATAATAATAATAATAATAATAAGTTAAACCGAAAATGGAAATTCTTTTTTCCCAATTGATCGTGAGCCCGGCAGCGCCAGATCGACGTTGCTCTATCCCTTATTGTTGAACGCCAAACAAGGTAGCAGCAACTCCCGTCTTTTGTTATGACGCAGCCGGGGTTCGAACCCACGACCTCCCGGTTGTGAGGCGGACGCTCTACTGACTGAGCCAACACACCGGTATATACAGGAGATACAGGTGCAAATAGGGTTAGCAGAGCCATCTATACACAGAGTTTGGACAACCCGGTTCAAGTTGGACACAATATGGTGACTACCGCTTTGTTGGGCAAGCACAAAAGAAAAGATTATACGCCATGCTGTAACCCAGTGAAACCAAGTTGGCCAAACTCTGTGTATAGATGGCTCTGAGGGTTAGTGTGTAAGGGCTCCCTCTATAGGAAATGTTCCGTCTATTGTAAGATCGTCAAAGCTTTGAAATAGTTCATTCCGTATATCGTCACTATATGCATACAATCTACATTCACCATTTCACCTTTTCTTCCCCCTCACACCATGTAGGCTTGATAGGAAATAAGAATTTTGTTAAAATTTTAAAACTGAAACAAAAAAACTTCAAAGAAACGCTGTTAAAAAACATCTCTATGGGAGAAAATGAACACTCTATCAAATGATTTAACATGATTTCTTAACATCATGACAGCTCCTTTTTAATTCCTAATAGTTAGTTAGTTCCTAATACCACACCAGACCTTATCAAGGACCACCACCATACAACAGATGGAGTTCTGAGGTCTAGATTTATCACTGATCTTAACTGACTACTAACCTCTACTTTGAGTGTCTGAGGATGAATAACATGGATCTTGTTCCTAATACCACACCAGACCTTATCTAGGACCACCACTATACAACGGATAGAGTTCTGAGGTCTAGATTTATCACTGATCTTAACTGACTACTAACCTCTACTTTGAGTGTCTGAGGATGAATGACATGGATCTTGTTCCTAATACCACACCAGACCTTATCCAGGACCACCACCATACAACGGATTGAGTTCTGAGGTCTAGATTTATCACTGATCTTAACTGACTACTAACCTCTACTTTGAGTGTCTGAGGATGAATGACGTGGATCTTGTTCCTAATACCACACCAGACCTTATCCAGGACCACCACCATGCAACGGATTGAGTTCTGAGGTCTACCAAGGTCTAGCACATGATAATTGTTCAGGTCCCACTGTCCATCTGATCATGAATTTGAAGAAAAATTAGTGTTATACATGTATAATTAAAAAAAAATATAAATTTCTTGTATAGCTTATAATTATTCAAATAGCGCTGAATTAAATACATTTTTGACAGTGTCTTTCCATCCTTCTATGTACTGTTCCATGACTGTGTTTTGTTACACCTCATTTAACTCTGCTTGTATTTGCATATATTAATATTCTATTCAAATCTGCAAGTATTATTTTACTCTTGAGAACTGGAGAAAAAAAATATTAACAAAACACTTAACTGTATAAAGTTCACACATACAGTGTACATGTACAAACAATGATTATTCAATAAAGTCATGAATAACATCATATTTGTGTTAATTACCGTTTATCCACAGTAGCCTTTTATCAGGGCATGATAGTGAGCCCTATCTTGAGTTTAAAAAAAAAAGGATTTGGGGGGAAAATGGCACCTAACAAATTCCCCCCCCCCCCCCCCCCCTTTGAGTAAGAAAATTCAGGGGAAAAAAGGAAAATAGGGGCAAATAGGGGTAAATCGGGAGAGAAGAAAAAAAAATTGGGGAAAATAAATAAACAAGGAAACCGATTTAAATCGGGTAATTATCAGGTCTGCTTTTATAGAAGGAAAAAAGAAGGGATCAGAATGACTTACCTTCTGATCTGTGGAAGACTGCTACTGTTCCATCTGCTAATGCTGCCAGCACTCTTCCTTTAATATGTCTGAATCAAACAAATATAAAGGTGTATTTGTTTACCAGTAATTGAACACAAATCCTTCACTACACCATTATTGAAAGGTAATAATTGGTGTTTGCAGAAGTAAAGGGGGACGCATTCCTTAATGTTCTCATAATTATTTAAAGCCCCTCTGCACTAGTTTGGCATGGAGGGATTAGACCTCCCTGCAGGGTCACTGGCAGGTGGATATCTCATTAAATCAGCTCTCAATTAACATTAAAAAAAGGGCATCATGGGGGATCAACAGGTACCGCTTAGGCATTGTTGGCTGTATAGAGGGCGCAAGTAGCTGTAAGTAGTGCAGTGGGGCTTTAACACAGAATACAACTTGATAGATTTTGCTCATGACTTTGCATTCAAATTTGGCCAGAGCCTTCAAAAGATACATGTGTGTAATGAATTAGGTGTTTAATCAAACCTCAAGCAGAGGCAAGGGAATCAGAATACAGCACATCTGGGTCCTGTTTTATAAAACGTATTATCAATAAGAAATGCTTAATTTCTATGAAAAATTTGCTCTCTGCTAGTCAAATGCCACAATTTCAGTAGCTTATAACAGCTTTTTAACTCGTTATTGATAACAAGTTTTTATGAAACAGGGCCATTGATGCAAAACCATATTAAGTCCTTTATCAGGCAATATGAGATATATTATGCTAAGAGTATACTCACACTATAGCAAAGATGGAATCCTTGAGCTTGATTGCATGGAGACACTTCCTCCATTGTGACACAGCAGAATGTACATAGAGACTGTCAACAACAAAAATAGATATACGTTAGGAATATGTACCTGTTGGTTTGCTTCATAGTGATGTCACTTTATATACATTTTATGTATTGTCAGTTTCTTCCAAGTTGAACTTATGACCTTTGACCCTTCACCTCTTGACTCGTAGGTAGATTCACTTCATCTGAAGGTGTTCATTCTTCCTTGTGACAACCTTTGATACATGTACCTCCATTTCTCAAATTACCATGATACTGCTACATGTACATTTCCGTCTATTTAAACACTTTAATTGTCCTCACGACCTTTGACCTTTTGAACCCCATATCTCACCCCCTTGAACTCATACGAGCCAAGCTTAATTGGGATAGAAAGAAAGTTATCATCTGCAGATTTGTTTTAAAAGCGCAAATGAAAAAGTGAATCCAGAGGCTGATTTTCTGCCTATACTTTCGAGTTCAACTCTAGCTCCCTGGCAGGGTTCCATAGAGGTCCTAAGGTCAAATTTTGGGCGTCAGTGCAAGAGACAACTAACAGCCACTGTTCACAAATATTATGCTTCCGAAATCTCTTGATAGTGATTCCGCACAGGAAGCCCATATGGACTTCCCATGTGCCACAAGCAGCAAAAGCCCTTTTTAATGATTGGAGTGTTGAAAGACAGCTATCTTTCCAATATGCTTTGAGTTTAATGGTTAGTGAACTCAAACACCAGCAGAATTCGAGTAACTGATACAAAATTAAACTGTAATTTCATATGTTCATTACTTCATATAATTAATTACACATTTTTATCCAAGCAATAATAAAATAATTCAAAAAATACTAAGAATTCTATGAAATTGTTACAAAACCAGTGCCACAACATACAACTGTACACATTGCAATAAAATATGCATATTCATGAGAAGCTACTAAATATGCATGAGGTAACCAACACATGGCCTTGTGTGTCCTTCTTTGATTCATTGTGCTAGTCATGCATCAATGGAAGGCTAATTTGTGTGTAAAATAGTAAGCAAACTTCTCCTGTAAAACTTAGTTGCTCTTGTTGACATGAAAGTTTTGTTAAATGCTCACATGGTAGGTATATTTTCCTTTCTTTTCTTATCTCTCTTCATTCCTCTTTTCCCCTTTCTTCTGCTCTGTTGTGCTCTCTCTCTCTCCATCTTTTTCTCTTTCTTTTTCTCTCCTTCTCCGTCTCTCTCTTTCTCACTATCTCTTTCTTCTCTCCCGTAATATACAAAGTGCATTCATTCTACATAAAACTTACTTTCCATTTTGAGCACCCAACCACATAGTAGGTTTAATACTGGACATTTTCTCAGCGACCTCATGCATGGCGTCGCTGACCGTTGGTGAGTCCGATAGACCATCCTTCAGTAGATCACTGGACGTACCCCGGCGTTGCCGTGAGACGATGGTCTCGGTTGGAATGGGTTCGGTGGTGGCACCAAGAGGGTCTGTGGCTGACCCCTCTGTGAAAGGTCAAAGGTTGGGATATTCTAGTATGTATCTGTTCGATAGTGATCTAACATAGGCTTCGAGCTTTTCTCTCAGACAGATGTATGTACAGTTAAACCTGCTTTAGTGACCACCTGTCTACAAAGACCACCTGTCTACAAAGGCCACATTTGTTGTTTCCCTTGAAAATGGTTTCTCATTGAATCATGTACTAAAGGAACCTGTCTACAAAGACCACCTGTCTACAGAGACCACCTGTCTACAAAGGCCACTTTTTGTATTTCCGTTGGGTGGTCGCTATAGACAGGTTTGACTGTACAAATACTATTTATATCATTAACTTGTTAAGGCATTAAAACCTTATAAGAATAGTTTGTATGCTTGTATAATGCTTATATATCAATACCAATAAGAACCAATGAGTGAAATGAGAGCTTAAAGATCAAGAAAAAAAAATTATATTAAATTTGAAGTTTTCATTTTTTCGCTGCCCATTGGCATAGTTGCCTTGAGATGGCGTCCTGAAAAGATATGACAGGTTTGAAGTCGCAACAAGTCTCTTGTTGAGGAAGTTGTCGCTCATCTTGGTAAAGATGGTTTTGTGAAATACTCAGTGCCAAAGTCAAGATGTTGTTGATCTTGTACTTAAGACAATTTCATGAGCCGACCCCCCGGCTTTTCTTCCTTTTCTCTACTCGTACCTGTATCGCTACTAGCGGCCGAGTCTGTCTTGAGGATGTTATCCTTGACAATGCCTTCCATCCCCACTGTGTCTGCCAGAGGTTCAGCTGACACTGCTTCCCGTAGAGCCTTCTCTGCGTCAGTAACGGACGAGATGTTTCTGCTCACGTTGGCTTCACTCACCTCCGCCTTGAAGCTTCCTTCACTGTCACCCACGCCTACCACACCTTCTATGTCAAGGAAAGCAAAATGGAATAAGTTAAAGAGAAGGTTGAGTTATGGGGAGAAGTGTAAAATAATTTGTGAGTATTATCATTGTTATTATGCAAGTGTGGAAGAACATCTGAGAAAAAAATGTTCCGAAAAAGCATGGCTCTTCAATGCCTTTATATTCTAAATATGACAAGTAAAAGCTTAAAATGAGGCCCAATTTTTATGCCACCTGTTTGTGTAGTCCCATACACATCTTTCTGTGTACAGTGCTTGTTACTTTTCCAAGACTGGGCCAAATTTCTTGTCATTTTGATGACTCGAGATCCTTGCAGTACACACAAATTCTTATATGCTAGATGATCAACTTTTTCTGACCGATTCCACACAGTTTCTTTCACAATGCAATTGCATGACCAGAACTCAACTTTATCTTTAAGTTTAGTTAAATGGGGGAAAACTGAGAATTATTGGCTGTCCATTGATGAAATAACCAAATAAATAAACTAAATATTTTAACAATAAAATAGATCTAGCTTAGATGAAATGAGGCAATGTCCTGAATTCTTTCAAGGAAGAACTTTAGATGGAACACTATACATATATCAGTGTGCACCTTCTTTATTATGGCACTGAAAGCATTAAAAAAAAAAACATACATTCGTAAGGACATGTGATATGAAAAAATGAATACAATTGAAATGTACTTGTATGGGGCATTGATAAAATATTGTGTACATATACAATGCACATACATTTGGACTTTTTGATACCACTAGTAAATGTATCATTTTTTTAAATAACTAAGATCTTATTTAGAAACTGATACCAAACACAAACCTGGTTCTGAGGTCGGTGAAGCATCACTAGGCGTGGCTGGTGTACTGGCCGTCACCAAGTTAACATTACCAAACCCGCTATCACTACCACCACTTGATGCTGATGCAGCATCATCGTTAGTCTCAGATGGGAGATCCTCATCGGTAGGGTAGTCAGACTCCATTGCTCCTACACAGTTAGAATGATGATAATAATAGTGGGTTCTTTTACAGCGGTCATGTATGTCAAACTTGACACTCCTGGCGTTCCAGATTATTACCCTGGCTTTAGCACGGCTGCCATTACAGCGCTCTAGCATTTCAAGAAATTAATTTCTGCCAGGCACCTATTTACATCACCTGGGTTGAGTGTGGCAAATGTGGATCAATGTCTTGCCAAAGAACAATAGTGCCGCAGCAGGACTCGAACTGCGGACCTTGTGATCGACAGTTTGGTGACATATCCACTCGACCACATTAATAATAATGATAACAAGAGCTTTTCAACAGCAAGCAGTCGACAATTATGCCTCCGCCGGCTGTGCAATTCTCACTTCCACACATTCCACCAGAAGCAGATTATTACCATAAGCACTGTAAAATGTTATGACCTCTATGACCTTTGACCTTCTTACCCCAACCTCTAATCTGATCATCTTCCTATGGTGTTACACACTACCACCAGGTTCGAAGCTCATATATGTACCTCTGGTGGCTCTTGGTAATGAGGCTTATACCTGTAGTTTTCATACACTGACCTTAGACCTTCCTACTCCACAATCTAATCAGATGATCTTTCAATGGTGATACATACTATATCCAAGTTTTAAGTTCGTATCTCAAGTGGTTCGTGACATATTGCGCAGGAAAGACGGATGGACGGAAAACCTGAAAACAGGTGGGTCAATCTGTTGGTCAATCTGTAACCAAATTACTAACTTCAACCCTTGGCCCAAAACTATATGCTGCCTTTAATTTGAATTAACTTAAACTAAAAACCTAATTACATCCAACTCTCTAACCCTAGGTATTGGACTAAGATATAGCCAAGAGTAAATATCAGATCATTACAACAAAATCACATTGATATTGGCATCTTGTAAAGTGCTAGTACCTGTCAAGTGTTAGCACTCCTAGAGGTGACCTAAAACAACTCCATAATATTAAAGGTTTCTGAATTCAACGAATGAATGATAAAGTCGATAACTCCTTGAATCCTAAATTGTATCATAATGGAAGCTTTGCAAAAGTTGGAGTAATTGAAGCATATAGAAACATTTACAACCCTTCACAACAATTTTAGATATGCCAAACTTTACATTCAGCTTTCAGGGAGATTTATATCAATTGCATACAGCACAATAGAAATGATCTTTCAAAAATCAGGGAGGAATTAAAATTTGTGTGGAGTAATGTTTAAAACAAAATAAAAAAATCAGAGAGGGTTGGCATCTCTGCAATTTAAAACACTTAGGAACTTCCTTTAGTAACTCTAACCGGTTACTGGATATAATGGATCCCTTTGCCATTCACTCAGCCTGAGTTATCTCAAGCTTTAGTCTCAAATTGCAATTTTTGTCAATATCAGATTGCAGTTGCATTGGAAACATAAAAGAGTGGAGTGGGGTTATTATGATGTGCGGAGGTGTACCTGCTACCGATGCTATACATAGAATATAGGCTGTGCTGACTGGGAACATATCTAAGATGCTTTGTGGTTGGTTAGCATCTATGACTGTGACTTTGGTGGAACTCTGATTACTGGTGCATATCCAGGCTAAAGATGAGAGCTTGTATTTCTTATGCTTGTCTATCTCCTTCTGTTGTTTCTGGAATGGGATAGCAAATTTTTAAAAATTTAATAACACACAAACGATTCATATAGAAAGAGATGAATATAATGACAAAATAGGCAGAGAGAGTCAGAAGAAGAAGAAAGAAAAAAAGACAGAAACCTGGTCAATAGAGTCTTGGAAAAAAGAAATTATACATCTTTCTTATTTTTCAAGTAAGAAAATCAGAAAAGAGGAGAAAAGAATAACAACTTTCTCCTACCTCAGTGTACTACAGGATTTCTTTTCAGAGTACTTTTGTTGTTCACAGCTCCTTTTATTATCATAACTTATCATTCATTTACTACACACAATATATGGGAACAAATCTGTTGGAGAGAAAGAGTTAAAAATAGATATCATACACCTTTATACTTATATTACATACTGTAAACGAAAAAGATCACATGTAAGAAGGTAGAAAATGTAAAAAGAAGAAACTATGCGGAGGAGAGTGGTTTCTTACAGTTATATCTTGATCTAGTTTATCTAGCTCTGATCCCTCTTTGCTGCTCCTGCTACTGGAGTCATCTGCATCGGGATCAGGGCTGGAATAGAAGACGCTAGCTCCAATGATGGATCCACCATCTCGGGTTCGACCTCCGTTCAGGTCAACTCCAGCTGCACACCAGATCTACATTTGAAAGGGGGAAAAATGTTATCATATTTATTAGAAATATTAATCCATCCCCTGTACTGGCAAATTCATTACTTTGTGAGTATACACAAACCCTTCATAGTCATATATACATATACACTACATTTGTTTAAAGAGTAGATTTAGATGTTGAAAATTTATCATTCAAAAAAGGTTATGGGAAGACTGTATGGTTAGTGACAATTTAACAAAAGTTCTTGTAATCACCCCTCTAATAATATCTTATATCTTGGAACTATTCATACAATGGTACATTTGAAATAAATTAAAAAATCAACATGATTGTTTTTCTTTTTCTAATACAAGACATCGATCATTTTTTCATTACTTATTATTTAAAATATTTTAAAATATATCAATATAAGAAGTACCCACAGAAATTTGAATGAAATTTTAAATATATCAAATACACAACTACAAAAATACAAAAAACTCAGTTTTCATGAATTATTGTATCAAGTAACCTCACAATATCTTAACTATGCATCCTTAATCAATCCTCAATCATCATGATTTATTTATCAAATCTGTTGATGGTATCCATCCTTTATGTGCAGAGATATTCTGACATCTATACTGACCTTTGTACCTGGTTCCTTCTCCAGCAATGGTCGGCAGAAGACAGGGACGGGTACCCCCATCAAGCCACGCCCAGCTCCACCACCACTCACCACACTGCTACCATCTACCTGAGACTGATTGGAGGAGGCAGGGCTTCTGGAGGGGGAGGGGTGTTTGGCTGGTAGACTCCACCCATAAGCTTGAACACGCCCATCGTCTTTCCTGACATGTGCCTTGACCTTCTTGTACTGCTCTCGCTTGTCTTTCATGCGCTGACTCCCCTCACTAGTTTTTAAGGAAGGCAAAAGAACAAAAAACATTATTATGGATTTGCAATTATAATTTCAAATATGATTTGAATTGATTACTTTCACTTTCTCTTTTCAGTAAGACTGTAGGAAAATTAAGAACAGAATAACTATCTGTGTTTCTAGACTCTGCCCCCCCCTCAAACAACATAAATAAAACAATAACAACAACAAGCTCATCCCCATTAATGCTTTATACTTGCTTTCCTATCATACAAGTATAATAAAGCAATCTATCAAACAGTACGGCCCAGTAGAAAGATGAGTGAACTTGACTTTGGCTTCGAGATGTTTAAAGATTTTGGTAGGAAAACCATGAATAAAGCAAGCAAAAAATAAATCGGTAGGAAGGAATTCCTTTAAATGCTGTGAGCATCGAAATCGGCAGCCTAGCATAGCCGGGTAATGTTGGAGCGCCTTGAGGACCTTGCAAGGTCGATACATGCGCTATATAAGAATCCAATATTATTATTATTATTATATCTTCAGTCGGAACGCAGCGCGCATACTTATGAGGCTTACAGTGAAGATTTATCTAGCATCTTGTTTGCAATCTGTGTGCACTGAGCTGAATGTTATTTTCAGGGTGATTATGCAGCATCATGCTCCCATGAAGGATAGAAAGCTTTATCTTCAGTTGTCATGGCAGAATGAAGTAGTATAATAATAATAATAATAATAAATACTTATAAAGCACACATATTTCATAACTTACTCAAGGCGCTATATAAAACAAAACGCACAAATCTCTCTCCAGAAATTTAACAACATAATATCATTAGTAACTCTGAGTAAATAAAACCTTTTTAACATGTTTCTGAAAGGTTTCTAGGCACTGAATGTTTTAAATGTCACTTCAGAATCTGCTCTTTAGTTCTAGATGCGAATTATGAGACGCTGCTGATAGACCTTCTTAATAACATCTGTGCAATGCTACTCACCCATCTTCTAGGAAATCAAAAGCTTTGGTCTTGTTATCAAGTGACGCAATCGTCTGGGTGCGCTGCTTGTTGTTGGGCGCAACGTACCCTGTGGGGGCGTTGTAACGTACATTGGCGGCCACAGGGTAATTGCGCTTGGGAGGGGGTGCAGCGATGCCGGAAGAGTTTGAGGATGAACTCGTGAAGAGGTTGCTGAAACTGTGGAGTTGAAATGGTAATGGATGAGGTAAATAAAGTGTGATATCCACAGACTGGTGGCTCACAGGGGGGTGTTTCACGAGATGATGTCATCAGTGACAAATGACAGTTTTTTTTGTTATAAGCTAGTGAAATCCTTGCTTCTGATTGGATATCAGCAGATCTGTCACTGATATTTGTCATTTGTCATTGCAAAAAGGCTTTGTGAAACACCCCCCAGATGTGTTATCATTTGATCTTAGTGATATTCTAGTTTTAATCTGTATTGATGTGAAATAACAAACATAATGTACTCATGATAATTAAAGTAACAGTCTGATACCGACATTCAAATAGAGGTCATTATTCACAAAAGTCTTCTATTCTTAACTTCAGTAATTAAACTGACAAAAATGAGTGATTAAGGAAAGTTTATAAAATAGAATATTTACTTACAATTTCCAGATTGATGATTTGTTTTTCTTGCCTTCAAATGATGGATGTTCCCTTGAGGCTCTGTAAGACAACAATATAAATAACAACATGAAACATTGTCCTCTCAATTAAAGCAATCTACTTCTATTGCCACTGCCACTATCATCACATCATCATCATCATCATCAGCATCACAACCACCACCACTGCTACCACCACAATTGTCATCATCATAACCACCACAATCGTCATCATCATCATCATTACAACCACCACCACCAACGCCACCACTGCTACCACCACAATTGTCATAATCATAACCACCACAATCGTCATCATCATCATTACAACCACCACCACCAACGCCATCACTGCTACCACCAAAATTGTCATCATCATAACCACCACAATTGTCATCATCATCATCATTACAACCACCACCACCAACGCCACCACTGCTACCACCAAAATTGTCATCATCATAACCACCATAATCGTCATCATCATCATCATCATTACAACCACCACCCCCAACGCCACCACTGCTACCACCACAATTGTCATCATCATAACCACCACAATCGTCATCATCATAACCACCACAATCGTCATCATCATCATCATTACAACCATCACCACCAATGCCACCACTGCTACCATCACAGTTGGCATCTACATCATCATCATCATCATCATCATCATCATCATCATCATCATCATCATCATCATCATCATCATCATCATCACCACCACCAACGCCACTAACATCACCACTGCTACCACCACAATCGTCGTCATCATCATCATCATCATCACAACCATCACCACCACCACTACCCCAATCCTCATCACCTTACCTAATCATCTCTGTCCACCTCACAGCTTCCTGAAGCTCCATCAGTCTCTCCTTGTATTGGTTCCTTTCCATCAAGACCCTAGCCATCTCCACACGGGTAAAGCGTTTCCTCTGGGCCATGGGCACATCCTCCTCATCGTCAATCTCTCGAATCTTCTCATTCTCCTCTCTCGCCCTGAAAGGTGTAAATGGAATTGCATGCTCATGAAACTCTCCATTACTATTTATTTATTTATTTATTCCGTTTTATTTAAACAGGGTAGCCCCATCAGTAATCACAGTACCGTAACAGTACTGTAACAGATTGATTTTACCAAATCAGATTGTCATTGTACACTTAATATGGGCATCCTCTGCATTTGTACCCGCGATCGTAGATAATCATTAACAAGTTTATCCTGGACTTTGGCCAAGTCCAGAAGCTCCAGCCCAAGCCCAAGTCCAAGTCCTAGTCTTTTTTTTGCAAGTCCAAGTCCAATTCCTCTAAAATTGGACTCGTGTCCATGTACAAGTACTACAATACTGCATTTTGAGGCATATGTGAACTATAATTCATAATGAAAACTTGAATTCATGGAGCGCTTTAGATTCATGAGAAGTAGACAACAAATTTGGAGGCGGGTTCATAGACACAGGCTATGTTAAGTAGAAAACACTCTGTCCCTCGGATATGGCGTTAAATGGCCTCGTGTAGAGGAGAGTTACCACCTTTGCACGTTAAGAACCCACTGCGCTATTTGTATAAGAGTAGAGGGACACCCCGGTGTAGTGATCCACCTGGACACCCCCAGTCAGTTATACCAGGATGAGAGACCTGAGGGTTACAGTGATTCTGTTCGCTTTTTGCCTCCCAGGCTCAAGTGACGCCAAATACTTAATAATACTAATAATAATTCCTACTTTTTGAGATCCTCTTCCAGGTCTGCAATGCGTGTATTGAGACGAGACTTGCCGTTGTTGAGCCCCATAATCTCCTGCTTTAGCATCTCAGTTTCTGAAGTGAGCTCATCCACTTGAGCTATCAGATCATCTTTCACAACGTTCAAAGCATTCCTAGAGGATGAGAATCAAGACATCAATTGTATTAGCTAAACAGTTAACAGTCTAAGAAAGAAACCATTAAGAATTAGAATTACAATGACATTTATGTAGGGGTATTCAATGAAGATGAGGGTGAGATTTAAACAAATAAATAATTTGGTGTTCTAACATTTAAATTACAGTGAAAACTGTATACAAACACCTCTCAAGGTAGAGAAGAAAAGTAGTCTTTGTAGGTAGGAGGTCTTTATTTACAGGTTTCAATGAGAAACCATATTCAAGGGAAACAGAAGATGTGGTATTTCTATACAGGTGGTCGCTACAGCAAGTTTGACTGTATACATGTATGTGTATTCTAAATTTGTCACAAAAACTCACTTTGTTTGTCTGAGCTCCGAGTTCTCCATGAGAATGTTCTCCACTTCTTTGCCCATACCTAGAAAGAGCAAAATCACATACCATATAAAACACGAGTATCATATAAAATCAGAATTCATGATTCATCACATAGAACTGAGCAAGATGCAAATGAAAATGTGTGTTTTCAAGAATCCTTTTCATCCTTCTTCTCTCACTATTGAATGAAAGGAATTAAAGGAGGTCAACACGGAGCATGCCCTCTATGTCTTGCACTCTGTATTCCAGTCCAGAATTTTGCCCAAAATGCAACAATGATAATAACATCATCCGTCATTACGTTCACTCTCAGTTCCAATACATTATAAATAACAATATGCGACATATCATAAAGTGGGGGGGGGGGGGGGGGGGGGGGGGGTATACAAAAACATTCATCAGTTGAAGAAAAAAAAACACACAGATACCTGTATGTGTTCTTGGGATAATGAATATTGTATTGCACACTTGGTAGACCCATCATCCCTATATTTCTTCACTTATTAATTTTTCCTGAGCTGCTTTACATTCAAATCAAATTCTTTTTGGAATGAATACACTTGTACCTTTTTAACATTAAGTGGAAATTGATGTTGTATTTATGATAATTTTTTGTTTTTATCACTACAAGCAGAACTCCAGGCTACCTTTTATAGTTTTTTTCTTCTTCGTGGATTACTTGAGCTGTCTGATTAATGCTCAAATTTCCTTGAATTGGTCATATCTGTGCGAGGATTTGATTTGAATAAACTACGGTGGAAATCATTACGGATGAGAAGAAGAAGACTGATGAAACAGCAAAGGACAGAGTTCATTTCTGGTCTTTTTTTAAATTGTTATTTTTTGTTTGTAAGAAAAGAATATTCACACTTATAATTGGTTGGGATTCTTGAAAAAACTACACATACATGTAGGTGTAATCAAGGACATACTCTAATCAGGGTGTCAAGAATAACATTTCGGTCATAAACAGACACATGAACACGATGCCACACATGTACAACTGAGAAATACATTATTTGACATAAAGTATTAACATGATAGGCTGTTGTAGCAGAGTTGAAGACATATACATTGACACTTGAACATTTACACTTTAAACTTTGTTCGAAAGATATAGTGTTGACTGGAGCTTTAAAAACATTCGTTCCCGCAATATTCTCTAATCAGCAGAGTGCATGCTATCTCAAAGAGAAATGGGAACAATTAAAAAAAGGATAAGAGGAAGAAGAAAAAAAAAGAGAAGATTGCAGACTACATCCAACAGCATTGTAAATACTATACAAACAAGAAGACAATGGAGAAGGAAGCAAGAAGTACATTTTAAAAGAGAAAAAAAAAGTGTGAAGTATAAGAAAAAAGGGGCGGAGGGGGGGGGGAATACTTCACCAAAACTTTTCACTGTACATGAGAGTGAAGTGTACTAATTTCCATTTTGAGATACATGTACATGTAAGCATAGACAACATACACTAATTCCAACATAAACATATCAGCATCTGTAGCAACTTACAATTTTACATAACCAATTGTTGTTCTCTCTTTTTCAAAAGAGAGATAAAAATGAGGGGAAAAAAAGAAGAAAGAAAAAAAGAAAAAAAAATACCAAAGGCAAAAGGCAGGAAAAAGAGAAGTCACAGATACAAACAAATCACAAATAGACTAGACTAGACATAACAAATCGAATAGATTTGTTGCACCGCGTAACTTGCAAATGCAAAGCGAATATGCAGCAATCTAAACCCAAGTGATACATGCATGTCTAATCATTAAGGCCTATATTCTTGAAGCAGTCTGGCTTAATAGCTTGGCATTAATAAGTCCACATACTTATGGAAAGCCATACATCAACCTATGCACTTCTGTAAAATTACTAGAAATATGGAATGAAATATGTCAACCAATATTAAATTCAGTCATGAAATGAAAATGAGAGGCTACTTCATGGAAATGGTATTTCTGTTTTCTATCTGACATGTATTTACAGAACTATCATAAACATAGGACAAAGAGGTTGGCACTTCGCACTCCAAAAATCGATTGATTAACTTATTGCACTTTGACGTTTAAACCTGGACTCAACTTTGCCCTTTTCAAGAAAACTGAGTCACTACTTATCCCAAGTACAGTCAAACCTGTCTGTAAAGGCCACCCACGGGAAACAGAAGAAAAAAAGACCACTATAGACAGGTGGCCACTAAGACAGGTTTATTAAACTGTAAGATGATAATAAGCACTAAATGTCTCTAAAGTCTAATCTACCCTTCATCCTTCTCCTCAATGGTAATTTACCATTCAGATTTAGTAATATGGTTTAATAGGAGCTAGGGTTAGTGTAAGTTTCTATTATTCTATCATACCAACGGATCAAACTAATCGGTGGGACATCGGACCGTGAAATGGAACGGCTTTTAAATAGTCTGTAACCTAATCAGAATAGTCAGGGATACCAGTTGATTAACAAATAAGTCTGAAAAGAGACATACACTGTAGGCAAGTTGGAGCCCTGGTATGTTCTATATGAAGTCCAACCAAAAAAACCTGAATTGCGGTGGTGAAAGAGCTTGAAATAAGGTAATAGCCTAACAACTGACATCCCTGGATATTGCTGCTACGATAATGTGATACTTTTGCCACAATAATACATGCAAAAAAGTAACTGTATTGTGCAATACACTACAAGTACATGTACATCACTGACTTATGTACATGTAGCTGTTTCAAGAATTTAAGAACAAAGTGCAAAATTTTGAAAAATTCGCTACTCTCCATGAATTAATCATTATTAACAAATAGACATATACATTGACCATTCAAGAACCAAGGTGAGAAGCGGACAAAAGCAGACAACAAGGCATAGTTTAGGTACAGTTTCACAGAGGATACCACATATGGGAGCCATTGAGTCTTACCATAGAAGTTATCAGGGCTCATCACTGCATGGATGTTAGATAGATGCAATGAATGTAAGATTAATAGAAAATGAAGTGAAAGACTTAATGATCGAATATACAGTATTAATTCATGAATATTAGTGACATAATACATACAGCTTTTGTATAGCCATTACAACATATTTCACATTTCATAGACAAATAAAGCCCTCTCTTTTGCTTTTAGATTTTATGAAGAAATACTCATCAAATAACACTAACAGTCCTCTTCAGGACTCCCCAATCCTTCCCCTCTCTCACTAAGCCTACTGTAATAATCTTCCTGAATATTTGTCCTTTATAATATTGCCCACCATAAGCCTTTAAAAGGTTTATGAAATCTTGCATGTAAACTTCTTCAATTACTGTTTGAAATCGCCTGTGTGGATAACCAAGCTGATTAGAGACATGACATGTGGGTATACTAATCAAATGCTGGAATTCAATTAAGATCATTCAATGACCCATAAATATGATGAACTGTAAATGACAAGCAAGGACCCATCTAAAACTAAACTTATTAGTTCATAAAAATATAAATCTTCTATTGAGCTGTAGTTTAGCAACCTTCTTTGACATAATATGTATTGCTTGGAAGCCTTTGATTTAAAGACCATGCGCAATCAACGTCCATAAATTTCTGTATCTGTTATGAATATAAATTACTATTTCTATTTTTTAAATCAAACCCATCACCAATTTGGATACTACAGATTGCTGAATGAAGCTAGGTATAACTGTATGAAACTACGTTCTCAATTAGAAAACCGATAATTTGCCCATATTCATTTACAGAGTCAACAATATTCTGCTAATATTGATACTGCTTTTAAATATAAACTGCAAAAATAAAACAGCTACCGTTAAGTTGCAAATAGTAATTATCAGAATAGCAATATTACGTTCAGCTTGAAAGCGCTACCATTAGTATGTCTCAAGTCCCAAAGAAAACAGATAAGAACAAACCTTCGACAAAATCATTTTCAGATTCACATTCATCACTAGAAAAGTCCTCTTTTGAAAGACAGGAATAAATAAAACAAATGAGGTAAACAAAAAGGGAAATAATACAAACATAAAACAAATGTAAAGAACAAATGGTTATTTGGATTAATATAGATGCAATGAGGAAAATTGGGGGATGATAAGTAAACATAAAAGTTTTTGGATGAATAAAACAAGGGCACGGAAAGGTAATTATCTGAGCATATACTGTATGTATTAATAAGTTGAGTGGCAAGACAGTTATTAGTAAAGGATATTTTACAGGCATAAGACAACAAAAACAATAAACCAATTAAGCGCATTATTACTTTTTGTTTTACCTTTGATAAAACAAATGCAAAATGACCATAAAAAAAAAATGTAATTAAAAAGTGGACTTTAAAAAGAAATGTGACATGTAGAAATTGCAAAGTACAAATTTGGAATCCCAGGAAAGACCCATTATAGAAAAGATAAAAATAGAAAATCCCATAAAAGCAGCAAATTGTATGATGATACTGTTTTTCCTCCTATTACATATAGATGAAAATGTAAATTTGAACAGGATTTTGTTTACAAAGAAAAATGGATTATTTTTGTGATCAATATACTACATATCCCCTCCTAAATAATCTTTTACATTGCTATTCATTACAATGGTATTTAATGAAAATGATCTGAAATTCCAGAGCCTTTTGATTTTTTAAGTCATTTATGATTGAATTCAAAATTCAGATCAAAGTCTCTTAAAATAAACAATTCAAGCTTTAAGGTATTTCATTCCTCAATAAAAACTAGGCCTATGCCTATATAAATAGAATCTTTGCAAATTAGAACTTTATTTCCCTGTTTGCTACACTAAATATAATTGTACATTATTTCAATTTTCACTACCAGCATTATGCAACAAAAAATTAACAAACAAACAAACTAACAAAAAAATTAGAATCATGCAACATTCATGTATGAAGACGACAATGTATCAGATGACTATTCACTAAGAACTAGTTTTGACACAGCTTACAACAAAGAAGCATATTTAAGAACATTAAAGGGAAAGTCCTCCCTAATATTATGTTGGATTTAAAAGAAGTATAAAAATTTTCACTAATTTGTTTCTCTCATTTTTCTGCTGTTATCAAAACCAACTTAATATCAGGGCGGACTTCCCCTTTAAGCATCAGGGATATAGTTAGGAACATGATCACAAAGACTTTCTAAAAATCAACCGAAGGCATTTCAATAGCCTTGTCCAAACCCCATGGAAAGAAGTGAACGTTACATTGGTGTATGATGTAATCTCAACATTGTCTCTATGGGACGTACACAAGGGTGTTGAAATTGCCTTTGAGTTGATTGTTTGAAAGTCTTTAGGCCTGTTTGCATCAGCTCGAGTTAGCCAAATATCCCGCTTTTTTCAGACTCGAGATATTATCCCGAAGCTCATCACAAACTAGCTCGGACGGCGCAAATTAACCTGCTATTTTTCCCAAAGTGGGATTTTTTGGAAACAAGACCAAGACATCTCGGGCTATTTTCTCGACCAAATATCCCGCTAATTGCAACTGTGGGCTGATGATGAAAATTAACTTGTAAATGTGCGTTCGGGTTAGTTAAAATAGCGAGTTATTTGGCAAAATCGAGCTGATGATGACAGGCCTTTTGTTATCATGTGTGAGGAACTTAAGTTCCAAGACTAAGCTCAAGAGATGATGATGGACTAGTTACTGTGGAAGAATAGACCATACTTGCTAAGCATTGGACTATAGAGTTTTGAATGAAGATCTATTCTAGGACTTGCTTTCAACTACGACACTGACATCACTATACCACAAGGCTTAACATAGACTATACTCCAATACACACCAGAAAATTCCCCTGGATCCACTGATGAAACCATGAAAAAAAAGCAAGAAATTATTTTTGAAATGAAGTAAGAAAGAGCAAGTAGAACTAGACAATCTCTGGTAGACCTTCACAAGTAATTCTAGACCATATTCTAAACCTGCTTTTTGACGAGGGGGGGGGGGGGGCTAATCAGAATAGTAGTGCTAAACAAAATAAGAGCATCCTATTGGCTCAGGAGTGATCATGTGACAGTGTGAAGAATGTCTTTACTCTACACTCATACCTGCCAACCTTCCAAAGCAAAAATTAGGAATCACTCAAGGCAAAATTAGGAATACAATCATTCTGTGTACTTTTTACACAGAAGTTTTGATAAAAGAGAGGAATCTAGGATCCATAACATTTTAATTTGAAGGCCAAAAAGTAGGAATGTTTCCTCCAAAATAGGAATGATTGGCAGCTATGTATCCTGAACTTGTGTGGAAAGAGATTAAGAATATGAAGTTCACTATATCCGAGTAAGAGGGAGGATGAGCACAAGAATAGTCCTTCAGATCAAAACCTGTTATTTCTTACAGCAATAAATAACTTTCTAAACTAGAATTGAGGAAATTCATCTCCAGTGTCACCAGAGAGTTTAAAATCTTCGGTATACATCTTCAATTTTGAAAAAGGTGATGATTCAGTTTGATATCACACTACTTATTCTATTATGCACTACACCTGCATAATGCTACTCATGCAATTTAAGGACAGTAGTACTAGGAGGCATAGAAAGATCAAATTGAGCAACCTGTGAATAAAATACAGTTGACAACTAAATTATTCATACCCTTTGTAAAAAAAAATTATTTTTTATTTTTTTTGTTAATCAAGAATGAATGGTGGACTGGTTGAATTAGGGCCTTTGTCGAATACTTTTACAAGTGAGCTTTAGTATGTCATATTCTCAAGAAATATAAATTTGGATGAATCAAATTTTTACATTAAAAACTAGATGGAATTTTGACTGCGCGCAGTCGAAAATGATGCCTCCGCCATAGAGCAATTTAAATAAGTTTGGAGTTTAAATCTCCAGTGGTTCTTGAGATATCATGATAACAATCTCAATGTATGGAATTTCATAAGTTGACCTCTGTGACACTTGACCTTTGACCTACGTGCTCCAAAATCTAATCAGATTGTCTTCCTATGGTGATACACACTATCATTAAGTTTGAAGTTTAAATCTCCAGTGGTTCTTGAGATATTATGATATGGTGATACATACATGTACTATCATTAAGTTTGAAGTGAAAATTCTCCAGTGGTTCTTGAGATATCGCGATAACGATCTCAATGTATGGAATTTCATAAGTTGACCTCTGTGACCCTTGACCTTTGACCTACGTGCTCCAAAATCTAATCAGATCGTCTTCCTATGGTGATACATACTATCCTTAAGTTTGAAGTTTTTACATCTCCAGTGGTTCTTGAGATATCATGATAACAATCTCAATGTATGGAATTTCATAAGTTGACCTCTATGACCATTGACCTTTGACCTACGTGCTCCAAAATGTAATTAGATTGTTTTCCTATAGTGATACACACTATCACTAAGTTTGAAGTTTAAATCTCCAGTGGTTCTTGAGATATCATGATAACAATCTCAATGTATGGAATTTCATAAGTTGACCTCTGTGACCCTTGACCTTTGACATACGTGCTCCAAAATCTAATCAGATCGTCTTCCTATGGTGATACATACTATCCTTAAGTTTGAAGTTTAAATCTCAAATGGTTCTTTAGATATCGCGCTAACAAACTCAATACAAGGAATTTCATAAGTTGACCTCTGTGACCTGTGACCTTTGACCTACGTACTCCAAAATCTAATCAGATCGTCTTCCTATGGTGATAAATACTATTCCCGAGTCTTAAGTTTAAATCTTAAATGGTTCTTGAGATATTGTGATAACGGTCAAACGGGACGTACGGACGTACGGACGTACGGACGGACAACCCGAAAACATGATGCCTCCGGCACCACCTTCGGTGGCGGAGGCATAAAAATTACAAAATTTGGTAATGGTATGAATAATTTAGTTGTTAACTGCATATATACTAGGGCTCTAAACATAACCCTTGAAAAGTACTGAGAGTACCCTATTCCCATGCAGTGCTGGTACTAACTACACTGTAGTACAAAATGAAGCATAAGATTGAACATTTCAGTATTACTCCAAGGTAAGTTCATTTCACAAATATCATTGTAATGATGGTCCAATGCTATTTATGACACAAAATTGTATACTACAGTATATGACCTGCCAAGAAATGGATAATTACAAGGAGAAGAAATGCATGAGACAAAGTTGATCCTATACATCATATCCTTCATAATACATAATATATGTTGTACAGAGTACACCTATATTTCCTCATTGCTTTCAGTTTTGATAAGGCTCCTTGATTTATACCCAGAGAACTTTACCCATTGTAAACTATACTTTTTCACATCCTCCCGAGCACAAAAATTGTTTTTCTTTTTACAACTGGGGTAAATAACCTGACGAGAACATACCGGGTACATGTATTTTAAAAGGAAAGAGGTCTGCTTCAGATTAGGGGCATTTATGAGAAGGGGAAGGGGCTCTTATTAAAAGGAAACGGGGCACTTATTAGAAGAAAAAAGGGCACTATTTGACAGGAAAAAATAAAAGTGGCACCTCTAACATTTGAATAGGGGCAATTATCAGAGACGAAGGGGGCACTTATAAGAATGTGAAATGTGCACCTACTAGAAATAAAAAGGGGCAGTTATCTAAAGTAAAAGGCTACACCCCCCTCAAAGAGACGCCTCTGTCTAAAAGGGATAGGCTAAAACAAACTAACAACAAACACACACACAAACATAGCATCCAATGAATCAATTTGCTAGGGGTATCAGTGTTGGGCCCCGGTGCACAAAACTTACCATCGATGACAACTTTGCCATGAATGGATTTGATTGGCTGTTGAGTGACGTTGCCATGGAAGTTAATATTGATGGCAAATGGGAAGCTTGCCGTCAATATTAACTACGATGGTAACAGGGCTCAACAGCCAATCAAATTAAGGTTTCCATGGTAGTTACCATTGATGGCAAAGTTACCATCAATGGTAAGTTTTGTGCAACGGAGGCCCAGATCCACCCCCAATCTTCTGGAAGCAGTTGCTATGGATACCATTGCTGTTAGGATACCTACCTACGATGTTAGCACCTTCATCCATCTCACTGATGACTGATGGGTCCAACTCATCAAAGATGGTGGCAGACCTTGTCCCTTGGCTGTTTTTCAAAAAACAATAATAAAATGAAAGAAATTATAAATAAAAAAATAGGACCTTAGAATGAATGTGCTTTTATTTGGCCTTTCAACTGATAGAAAGGAAAGCTTCGACAATTACGAATGTAAAACCAGAAGGATTCCACCCCAGCATTGCCCAGCACAATAACATTGAGCAATTTACATTTCTAATTACAACCAGTCCATGTATTCTAATCTAAACACCAGATCAAAGAATTATGATGATACTGCCTCTTTGGCAAAGTTAACAGAAAGATCGAATTCAAAAAGCACTTCAATTCACAATATATTACACTGTAAATAAAACTAGATAAATCAGACTTAACTACATGTACTGATACCTTACCAGTAAAATGATGTTAAAATGTCAATAGTTTTTAACAAATATCCAAAGCAAGGATTCAACAATCTCTGAAATCTATGTCCAGGTAAAAGTCACTGCACATCTTGTGGCACAATAACTGCAAATGTAATACATTGCAGCACACAATGAACAGTTAGCATTAAGGAAGAAATGTTGAACATTTCAATTCAGGATATTGCTCAATACATCTTTCTTACATGGGATGCCCCTATTGCACCAAAAAATCATGCATTATTTTTAACTGTTGACTAATGATATTATTCCTATAGGCTTAGTACTGGGGGGGGGGGGGGGGTGTTTCACAAACACTAAGATTGACTTAAGTTGGACTTGAACTATGGCAGGCCATTCATGCCACTGGTTGCTCTCACCATTGGTATCTCAAGGGATGTCACAAATCTACAAAATTTACATTTTTAGATACTTTATTACTGAAAGTAAAAACAATATCTAAAGATCATAATTTCTAAGGTTTTTTTCCTTTAATTTTGCATCTAGTTCAAGACTTTTATTGAGCATAAATCGCCTGCCATAGTTCAAGTCCAATTTGAGTTGATCTAGTCTTTGTGAAACACCCTCCAGGGCCCTGTTGCATAAAACTTACCATTGATGGTAACTTTGCCACCAATGGCAACTACCATGGTAACTGGGCTCAACAGCCAATCAAAATCAAGGTTTCCATGGTAGTTACCATTGATGGCAAGTTTTGTGCAAAGTAGACCTGGGGGTGTTTCACAAAGATTCTAAGTCGAACTGAACTCTTAGTTGAACTTAAAAGTTATGGAGAGCCATTTGTAGCCTTAAAATAAAATATATTCAAAAGCGAAAAATCAAGTATTTTAGACTTTCCATAAATTCCACATCAAGAACATGAAATCTCCCATGATAACAGAAAATATGAATGATTTGAAGCAACATTTTATGCCTTTAAAAATAACTTTTACAAAATATTTTCAAGGATGCTAATGGCTTTCCATAAATTTAAGTCCAACTTAGAGATAAGTTCGAATTAGGATCTTTGTGAAACACCTCCCAGGTCTCACCCAGTTCCTGTAGGTAAATGGGTATTACACTCTTTCACTTTTTAAGGCCAAGGAAGTTATCAAGGCAGAAGCCCCATGAGTAGGACAAGTGAATTTCCTTCCTTTATTTTGAATAGAATGTTTGTTCTTGAACTACAATGGAAGGCTACTTTTAGTCAAGCCTCAATACTGGTGGCTGCTTGGGTATCCATAGTAACCAAAACCTTGTGCTATGCAACCACGAAGCATCACCCAAAAGGTGTGTTACACATGGAAAACTTTCCCACCATGTTTTGTACCAAAGCACTCAAATTATTACATGTAGTTTCTTCAAGTTTTATAATGGAACAAACAGTTTTTTTTTTCATAAGTGGATTAAAAATTATTTTGGCCATAATGTATCAGAACAAAAAGTTTGTTCTTTCATTAGAAATTTAAAAAGGGCACATTTTTCAACATATTAAAAAAATTTGAAAGGCTTAGATAGCTACCGGTAGTAGGAATACATTTTGTATAATTTCACACAGAAAATCTCAGACAAAGAAAGGAATCTAGGGTACAAAACAGTAGCTTGAAGACAAACAAATTGGAACCATTCCTCCAAACTAGAAATAGTTCGCAACTATGCCTATATTATGTCATCCTTTCATGCATCAAATCAATAATCATATTTTCGCACCTTTTGACAGGTAGATTAGCCGGCCTGGTGATCACTCCCTCGAGCTCTGGGGTACTGTCAATGATATCCCTCAGAGCAGGGTTCAACACATGTCTGTTGTCTGTCTGAGGTGTCATCACTGGGGAGAAGGATGAAAAAGAAAGCATGTTACACAGTTAAACCTTCAGATAAAGAATAATCGAAAGAATCACTCCTGACGACGGATAGTCAACCTGTTCGAAACGTCGAGCCACTCCCGCTTCTCATCCTCTCCAAGCGCTATAGTTCTCCTTAGAACTATAAGCTAAGAAAGATAACCAACAGTCTTTTCAAGACTACACAAACAGTCCTTTTCAAGACTACACACCCTCAAGATAGATTACCTAGAGTCCTTTTCAGGACTCCTCAATCCTCTCTCTCTCCCTCACATGGTGCACCCGCAAGCCTACTGTATAATCGAAAGAAGCAGAAAAAAGTGGCCACTGGTGACCCCCTCCTAGATGTATTTCCTCTGGGAGGGAGAAGAATATCCAACCAAGGAGACCACTGTAAACAAGTGGTAGCCACTATAACAGATCATTTACTTTTGGAAAATTTAGTATACCATACATATAGTTGTCTTAGGATGTAATATTCTAAGGGGGTAATATTCCCAGGGAGTAGTTGTCCTTTGGGCTATTTGCACAATTTGCCTGTCTTCATCAGCTCGAGTTGCTATTAGCAGGATATTTGGTCGAGAAAATACCTCAAGAAATCTTGGTCTTGTTCCCAAAATATCCTGCTATTTGGGAAATAACATGCTAATTTGCGCCTGTCCGAGCTAGTTTGTGATGAGCGTATCGGTCTGGTGGAGACGCAATTTCGAGCTTTGGGATAGTATCCAGAGTCTGAAAATAGTGGGTTATTTGGCAAACTTGAGCTGATGAAGAGAGGCCTAGTATTGAGTTGTCATCTGTGGAAAATTGTGCTAGGGAGGAAGTAATCTGTGGGGCCATAGTCCAGGAGGTAGTTGTCCAAAAAGTTTTATCTGTGCTTGCCTCTCTTGCAGCGTTTTCTGCAGAGTGATAATGATCTGCATCAATTAAAAACTATGCCTGTTTTCATCTTTCTACTTCAAGTCTTGCATGCACATGCTATCTGGCTACCAGTTGGGACTCCACACTATCTCTGGAACCTAAACCTCATACTACATGTATACCTGTCTCTGCATTTGTGGTTGAGACTGTAGCCTGCGTTTCCGTGGTGGACGACCCCATCCCCGCGGCCATGGGCGACGTCATCGTCTCCGTCAGTTCCTTCTCCAGGTTCTTCTCGTTGGACTGCTTGTTGTACTTGTTGAGAGCGTTGGTGGGGGTGGTGGTCGGCGATGACAGATCACCTGACATCGTCCTCTCCTTGGTGGGCGTGAGCTGGTCATCATCAAAACCATCCACCAGCTGGTGCTTCTGAATGTTGATCCTGTGAAACGGAAAGAAGTAGCAGCCTTAAAAACCAGAGTAAGCTGTATATACCTTCATGATGGAAACTGCTATTCTAAACGTCCTCACAGATATGGATTTTCCTTTTGTAATATTTCTGAGATTGAAATTTTTAATTATGAAAGAGTTTACTCAAAATAACATGTGTCTCTATCACAAAAGATCAAAAACTCAGTTAAAAATATTGGATGTTTGTTCATTTTTGTGTAAGATATTCCGATAACAATACTGAGAGAAAAAATACATGAGAACAATCCTTTTTTATCCCCCTTCTTTTTAATACAATTTAAAACAATTTTTTTTTTATGCTAAAGAATTTTGCCATGTTGTTGTGAATTGCTGAAGAAGAAGAGTAAGTAGCATAAACTTATCTTTTATTTCCCTTAAAGTAGATTACTTCATTTATTTTAGACATGGTGAGTATAAAAAAAATAAGTGCATGGCTGCATTCATACAATTTTTTTCTTTTAGGAGGGGGAGGGGGGGACTCTTCTTTCTTTTCTTATAAGTAAAAAGTAACAAGAATAATGTATGAATTTAAATTATTTTGAATGTGGAGTGTTTCAGGAAGTAAAAGAAAATGAATAGCAGAAATAATAGCGAAATTTGTGACTGTTTGAAAGAAGTGTTCAGCAAATTTTTAATGAATTATTAGCAAATACAAAAGTCTATTAAGATGTGTGAATATAATTCAAACTAAATATACAAAATGGTGCAGGAAAAAAATTTGTTAATTGGTGCAAAGAAAAAATTCTTAAAGTAAAAAGGAACAATAAAGAACTACCATTGACTTAGAATGATTGGTAAGATTTTGCAATGTTTTAAATAATGTATGAAAACTAAAAATGGCATAATCAACTCACATCCTTCCACATACAATTTGTCTGCATTATATTGAAAGGAAGATTCCATATATATGACGGACTCTTCAGTTCAAAATAGCGCTGATAAATTAATGCCGTTTGGCTCTCACCAGATAAAATATAGATAATACATATGCAAGAATAGAATAGCATAGAATGGATTCACAATTAACAGCTCCCCAACAGGCAAGCCATGACAGGCCAATCTTCCAATTTTTCAGTTTGTGGGTTGACATTTTTCAACCAGTGCAGCGCACCAAAACGCTAGCCATCGATTGAAGTGACCAAAGCGGTACAAGCTGTGTAAATTCATTTAATGAAATAAATTGTTCTGATTACAGTGCACATTTTCATATTGAATTGGAAGTTAAAACCCACCCATCAATTTATTTTGACTGGAAAAAAATTGCCTGATTTTGGAAGAAAATCAATACAAATGGTCACTTTTGCCCAAACAGTGCCAAAAAAGGCGAGTGGAGTCAATAAGACTGACATTTTTAGAATCAATGCAAAAGTTTACCCCGGTTAAGCTTTTGAAACCTTTCCTACCAAAAGTTTGGATTAAATCCCTTTATCTCCTAATAATATATAACAATGCCACAGCTGATATTTTTGTCAACTTTTTCCCACAATGTACCATGTGAAATTTACTAACAGTACATTGGTGTCACTAGATGGCACTGTTAATTGTGAATCCACCGTATTTTAGGACAAAGTAAATGCTATAGATATAGAAGGAGTGAGATTTTTCTGTCAATAAAACCAGAAGACATTCAATTATTTTACTGGTGTAATTTTTTTTTTTTAGATCAGGAAGAGGATTAAAAAATATTAAAAAACCTGAAAAGAAATGTCAAATTTGGTATAGAGAAAGATGCCACCATACACACATTGGGAATGGAAAGGATTTGAGGGTGGGAAGATGGTGGGGGTAGGGGGTTTCCCATGCACCTATTCATGTGTGCCATATCATGATGCAATGAACTCAAACAACACACAACAAACCATATGAAATGTGCATGCAAATAAAGTATCACTAATTATGAATGTACATCAACATACATGTAGATATCTAAGCCATATCTGCAATTTTTTCATTACAAAGAGCCATGATGTAAACAAATTATGGAAAACACATTACCGTATATAAAAAGAAGACTTGAAAGAAATAATCATTTTTCCAGAAGAATTCCAGAAATGGTACATTGTTTTTTCATTGAAAAGGGCTGACTTTATAATAGTTGCATTTTATAAATATATATATGTATATTTTAATTAAAAGCAAATAAAGTTAGACAAATGCTTTTTAGCTTTTTATACATGGTAGTATGGTCAACATTGTTCAAATAGACAACTGCGCATTTTTGTTTAACCTTGATACATATATGGCTTAGATATATTATATATATGAAATGGTAAATTAATATGAAAACTTGAACAAAATTTAGGAGTTCCATTCTTTTCAAATATCAAATCCCCAAAATGAGCACTTTTTATGCTGCACAACTTGAAGTTTGAATTATTTTATTTATTCCACATTTGCATTCAATCCAAATTTCTCCCCTTTTCTTTTTTAATAGAAATACATGAATTGTAGATGAGAACATTGCCCCTATTTTAAAACCTTACTGAAAAAATATATTTGTACCGTAATCCTATGTCAGATGTCAGGCAATTTTGAAATGTGACTTTCCTTCTTTTTTTGTTGCTTAGAGGATACAGTAATTGCTGCAAAATTGTCAGTGAATTTGGTTATCAATCCAGAAAATATATTTTTGTCCGCTATGTAATTTCATGGTAAAAATTACTAAAAATATGTTTTGCTGCAAAAGATTGGAATCCTTTTCACACGAATATGAGAAATACAATCAAGTCAAACTTAGCCTTGGTAGCGGCCATTTTGTCGGAGAGTTAATAATGCAAGCAGGCAGTGAATAGACTACACAAACATTCTTTTCTTTTTCTACATATCTCTCTCATCTACATGAAGATCTAGAAATGGGAAGAGATCTGCAAATAAATAGAAAAAAAACATGTGGGTTGGAATAAAGGAAGGAAGGAAAAGGAATAAAAAACAGATGCAATGGCTCATATATAATGTAACATTTCATTACTTTCCAAGCTGTACACAACATAGTTATGAGTATACCATCATCATCATCATCATCATCAAGTACTAGGTCTGTTACAACCATTGGCGGTCATGGCCCTCCATTTCTCTTTATTATCTGCTATTCTGAAAGCCCTGGTATTGCGGTCTTCGTGTTTGGTTTTGCCCATTTGTTCAGGCTATGCAAAATATATCAGGCATTGCCTTTCTTTCCCAGCAATTATCCCTTATAATATTGTTTTTGTCTAGATTCTCCTTTTTGCGTATAAATGTTTTTGCATAGTCAATGAAGCAGAAATGTATATACACCATGAATATTTGTTGTAATTATGTACTTCAAACAAGAGACACATTTCCCCCAACAGCTAATGACCGATTCCACATCAGAAAGAGGGCAATATATTGAGAAATTTAAAGCCTACTACTAATAAATCGTTGACAAAAATTTATGATCGATAATAGTAAATCTAATTCAGGGTGTCATATGAATCAGTGGCCACTTAAATAGAAAGAGGCTTCACTTTTTGTGAATAGATGGAAAGTAGTAACATGCCATGAAAACATTTCTGCCTTCAATATGAAGTTTATTTCACAAAAAGAAAGAAACACAAATCCTCAATATGGCCATTTCCTATAAATAATTCCTTTCTTGTAATACCTTTACAAAAGAATTTTCATCAAATGCATTATTCTTAGGCTAGAAAATATTATCAATATCTTTTTTCTAATACGGAATCACCATACTGGTAAATGTAATTAGTTTATTTAAAATGTTTCACTTTTTATGATAAGATATACATGTATACCCCATTATAACATTATTATGAAATAAATGTTTATGATTTTGTTGACTGAATATCCATAATGACTCCATTTTCTACATTCAGTCATTTTGCATACAGGACAGCATTATTGCTTTCAATAATCTTAATTTAGTATTTCACTGGATTATTGTGGTTTGAAAAATGATGCTACATATTTATTCATTCAGCTAATATAACCACAAAACCATGCTCGATTGAGAACATGTAATCCTAACTTCCTGAAAGTGATATAGGACCTATCAACTGTACTTTTTCAGACTTTGATCAATTGCTCTAAAGATTTTTTTTTTCACAGCTGGCAATGCATTGTAAATAGTATTTCATTTGTAAAATGAACATTTTGTAACTTATGTTTTCAGACCTTATTGAAGTATTCATTGAAGAAATTATTTTCATGGCTGGCATTGTGAATATTATTTTATTTGTAAAATGAACATTTTTAAGTATGTTTTCAGACCTGATTGAAGTATTCATTGAAGAAATTGTTTTCATGGCTGTGAATGCAATTTGTTTTCACTACCGTCACTTCGTGAAAACAGCGACGATATGTTCAAATAACAATGCCCCTTTTACATTGTACTTGCCCAACTAGTATACAATCAATTATACATTATCAAACTATAAAGAGCTCATAAAAGGCTCATATATGGTATTTGATTGATGATTAACTAGAGAATTGTTTGAAATCCATCATTCCCTCATACCACTACAACCATGAAAGACTATCCACCTATTACATTAGTCATTTTCCCACATCCTTTCTATCCTAAATAGATTAGCCCAACTTTTCCAATCATCATATAGTTGTAATACACAGTACCTAAAGCAATGTAATTTCGACCCATCATAAAAATAGTGATAACGCATTCATGTATATAATGTGTAGTGCAAGGATAATATACTGTCTCAAAATATTTCCAAAGAATATTAAGCAAGGTGTATATTTCTTTTTAATTCAGCATGTATCCCATATATAACATGTAATATATACGGTATTAATAGTATAAAATGCACTTGTGCACTGCAAACCAATCATGCTTTCTTAAGTTGGTTAGATGAACCAAATGTGCCAAAGAGTTCCAAGCTAAATATGATATAATATTCATGTTAGTTCAACAAAAACATGCATTGAGATTACTTTCAAGTCAAACATATGCATATACATGTATATAACATTAACACTGTTAAAAAGGAAATATTCAGTTACACATCCTCATCCCCCATGAATAAGACGTAGATCCAAGCTTGTTATTTATTATGTATTATAAATGTGTTTTGGGGTCTAATTCATAGACAGTTTTTGGCAGCTTACGGTGTGTACTGCAAGAAAAATTCTTTATTGAATAAAAAGTTAAAAACCATTATTTTTTTAATTTTAATAATACAATAATGACCTCTAATATAAAGAAATCATTGAAAGTAAAATAAAGAATATTGGCAGCAAGAATATAAATTGTATACAATACATTTCTAAAATTGAACTTCTATTCATGTGAAAAAATAAACCTAAGGAGGTCCATATACATGTACCGGTAGACCATGCTCAAAACATTACAATTTTGCCATCATTGCCTATCATGATTTGAAATGCTGTTTTGATAGTTTACTTGCTGAGCATGAGATCTGGTGTAGAGGAGTAGGGGGAGTAGGCTTGTTACCCTACCTGAAACTGTGTTGTTTTGAAGCTGCCTAATACTTTTTACCGAAGTGCCAATGAAAGATTTATGCCCAATCTAGTACTCATCGCTGTGATTTGAATAAAATAGGATTTTAGAAAAGTATTGCTAACAATTTATATTCCTGCTGCCAATATTCTTTTGATTATTTTCAATATAATTTTCTGTTTAGTAAGGGTAATTGTATCATAAATAATTTTCATTAGAAAAACAAAGTTTCCAACATTTCATTTATTCATGATTTACTTGCGGAACTTGAGGTTTTGAGGCAAACAAACGAATGGGGGAGGGGGGGGGGGGGGTAGAATGTCACCCTCCCTGAACCTGTATAATGTTTAAGCTGCCTTATATATATATATATACATATATATATATATATATATATATATATATATATATATTTATATATTCTTTACCCAATTTCCTTCCCCCAAAAAACTATTTCCAGTTTGAAAACAGTGTGTATAGTTTAATTGCAGAACATGATACCTTATGTGGAGGTAAAGGGGCTATCTGGTATATGGGAGGGGTAGGGAAGGGGAGCTAGTTTGTAACTCTACCTGAACCTGTGTTGTGTGGTAGGATCCACTTGTCCCATCACCTTGAACCGGTCTGCATACTCCATGTACTTCTGCACAACCTGGATCATATTGAGAGTAGAAAAAGAGAAAAGATATTTATTATTAATTTTAGTGTCAGCTGTGCCTGGGAGGCGAAAAACAAACTGAATCACTGTAACCCTCGGGTCTCTCCTTCCGTTTTAGCTGATTGCGGGTACCGGTTTGCAGGTGGACCACTACACATCTAGAATATCATGAATATGCATGTTTGTGACGTTAAGTCCGATATATTGAATATTCATATTACGATTTATACTGCGGGTAGATTTGTCCAAACATGCATTTAAAAGAAAAACTATAATAAATATACCTAACCCTCCAATACTACAACTGCAAATTAACCACAGACAATAAACGTGTATGATGGTGAGATTTTCTCTCTGATTTTTTAATTCTCGCTACCCCAAATAGCGATTCTGCCGAGATCCGGGGAAAATCCTGAAAACGCGCATTGCATTATGGGATAGCTTTTCGACATTACAGCTTCCTGTGCAGGCGTTCGTGATCACAACCCTCTCTTTCACGGTAGAGTTTAACGGCCTTTTGTGCTAAAGTCACTAATTCTGCCCGAAGCTTTCCATTGCATATTATAATCTGTACAAATTACACTGATTGGCATCGATTTTAGCGTGCGTGAAAACTCTGCACAGCGAACACAGGCGCTAGCGCCAGCGGGATGGGACTCTATACCGGAAGTTGTAGTGACGACCCGAGAGAGTGAAAATTACCTCGTCTCGCGAATTTCGAGATTTTCGTACCTATTTAGGGTAGCGAGAATTGTGCAACTGTCCTGCAACTGCCAGCTTCATGCATGGCCTATAAAATGTGGACCTACAGTGTACATGTACGTATGCACAGTACACGAACATGAATATTCATTATATCGGACTTGACGTCACAAACATGCATATTCATGACCTCCTTCTACTTCTACATGCGCCCAAATGGATAGCCACTACCGTACATGACATGTAGGTCTGCAATGAACCTTACAGGCATCAGGATGTCTCTCTGAAGATCTTCAATTGATTTGAATGCAAGCTTCATATGAGAAAACAATTGTCCTCATCAACTCTAGCACCCCCATGTCAACACCCTCCAGATAAAAGGGAATTTTGATTGCAAAGCAGGTCCCTAGCTAGCTTATTCTGGTCAGGGACATACTGTACATCAGATGCTTTCTAAATTAAGTGTGAAGTCCATGAACTGTCTCCTCTATGACTCACACTTGAAAGGTACAGAGGCAGTGATACGGTAATGCAATGGTTCTTATTCATAAAAGGGGAGCTAAGTTTAACATGGCTTATAATCCACTGATTTATGGAATATGGATAGCCCATTGTCAATTGGTTGGTATGGGAAATTTTGTGAGGATTTTTGGAAACATATATATTATTATCATTATTATCATCATTATGATTACCGTTAATATTATCATTATTTTATCTTCATTATTATTACCATTAATATCACCACTATTATTATGATTTTTTTTTAAATAATAAACTTGTATTATTTGTATTGTTATTATTATTATAATTGTTATTATTGTTATTATCATCATCACCAGCATCTTTTGTATTACTATTATTATCATAATTATTATTCATTTTTTTGTGAGAGGTCATTTGAGCCAATGGACAGGTTGTAATATTTTACTTCATTTGTCCAACTGTTTAAATCTTCTCAGCAAGGCATAGGCAAAATGTATCCATATGGAATAGAGTGGACCAGTAGATAATCAATCAAACTGCATTTACATCAGAGGTAAAAGCACATCTACAATGTATATGTACATGTACAATGGCAAAGGTTGTCAGAACATGCATAGGTTCTTTTATGATTGTATTTCAGCTGTTAAATTACCTTTTGGCAAGCACAGGCAAATTCTTCCATATGGATTTAGAGAGTGGACCGATCAATCAAAGGGCATTTAATGTATTAGAGGTAACAATGTATAACAACTTAAGCACAGGAACATGTATGGGGGTAGGAATGAGCATTGTATTCCTATTCTATCTTGATGATTACATTTTCTTCGACCATTTTTCCGAAGCCATCATGCAATGTGGTTGAAACCATGTCACCTCTGCTTCCAGCTCTCAACATGTTTGATCGTCAAACACATGAAGACAACTGCAAGCAAGAGGCAGGCAGGCAGGCCTGAGCTGAGCTGAGTCAGCACATGTATGCACAGAATACAGACATTGAAATTCAAGTGCATGCCCGTACTCTGAATGCACATATCATCGGAAGATGTAGATAGCACAGGCAGATTCGCATAGGGGAGGGGAGGTGGAGTGCACATTATGTCGATGATGCTTATGAGGCTTTCAGTAAATGCCTTTATAGCAAGTACAAGAGTATGATCTGCACATAAGAACATTGAATTCCAATTTTACTACCATAATTTTACCATGCATAATGTTTTATGTGTAATTTTACTTTGTCACTGATGTATACCTTGTAAAAGAAACTGCAATTCGGCTCCCGGGCCGCGAATGTTTTTTAATGAAATAAACCATTTAAAATAAATAAATAAATAAATTGTGTGTGGTTGTGCATATGTGTGATTCTCTTTCTCTTTCCCCTGTAATCTGTGCTCATCATCACAACCACATGATTTTTTTTGAATGAGGACACATCATTATTATTATTATTTGTTTTTGCAGAGGGGTTCATTTTGAGCCCCTGGACAGTTGTGATATTTTACTTCATTTAATTATCCAACTGTCAAATTCTTCTCTGCAAAGCACAGGCAAAATGTATCCATATGGATTAGAGTGTCCAGACCAGTAAATGAACATCAATCAAATATCATTTATATCAAGGGTAACCAATGTAACTACATGTAACTACGATTGTAATGGTTGTCAGAACAAGCATTTCTCCCTGTATTCTTGATACTGTATACTGTACATGTTAATGTACATGTGCAGTTGCAGTAGTAATCTAATTTTCGGTTGTTATAATAATAATAATAATAAGATATTCATATACCGCAAATTGCAAATTACCTCTAAGCGGTTTAGAAGAAAATAGCTGATATGTAAAGGAAACAGAAATTGCATTACAAATTATATCAATTTAAATTACCATTAAAACTTTGCAAATGAAAATAATACATGTACATAATTACAAATCACTTACAACAAAAATACAAGTACAGCTGTAGTTCATAAATTAATAGTATCCTATGGTAATCTACAAAAAATATTTAAAAAGGCAAAAGGTCAAAAGAGCTATTCAGGAACAAGACTTAAAGAGATGTGTTTTTAGCATTGTTATGACAAATCATATCAAAATTATTTGCATCTGATCGATTTGAAGTAGGTTCCTATCTCTCATTGAAACCATTTGTAATTTAAGATGAAAAGAATACAAAACGTGTTAAATACAAAAACGTTAAGACTGAGAGCTGTTTTCTGAATTTCCCTTTTTTCAAATTTGTTGTTTGCTCTAAAATTTGAGCAAAAATTTAGGCATACATGAATGTATGAATGTTGTAAATGGAAAATTGGGAATATATGTCATGTACATGTACAGTGTATGTATACATTATGTCAAACAAGAATATTATGAAAAAATACAGAGCATGTATATTTCAAGTACAAAATTTGTCGCTGCCGTTATTTTTAACCTAAGAATTTGTGTAGTAATATAAATGACAGATTTGTCCATTCATAATAAACCAGATAAATTGACTACATGTGCACATGTAAACATGGCAGTTCTGTTAGATTTCCCTTTAAAAATACTCATGTTATCTTACTTGTAAATCTTATTTGCACTGACAAAAACGTGCAGGACATCCTTGCAGTGATGTACAGTACATGTACAAACTACATGTACAAAAACAAGGTTAATTTCCTGGCTGTCAAGTACGTTATTTTCTCAAATTTTTTTCTATAACAAATGGTGTACCACAAGGTCCTATCCTAGGTACTGTATTGTTTATTTGTTTTTAATTCACATTAATGATCTTACACATGGGCAATTCCACGGTAACGGAAGGACACTCAGACAAGATTTTTGAACTTCAGGTTCATACTAAAAGAAATGTTTTATTAGTATGTATTAAACTATGGGGAACAAAATGTGTTTCAGTCAAGTGGAAAGCTTCATCAACTTCACAAAGTTTGGATAAACACTAATTAACTGGAAAAACCATGTCCATTTTTATGTCCTTCCGTTACCGAGATAATTAATATGCACATTCTTAAACTACTTAACTATAATGACAATTTTTTTTGGGAGAATTAAAGGCACTTATATAGGTATTATATCTGTACTGTTTCACATCTTATACTAATAAAACAGTTCTTTTAGTATGAACCTGAAGTTCAAAAATCTTGTCTGAGTGTCCTTCCGTTACCGTGGAATTGCCCGCATGATCTAAACGACATAGTTACTATTTTTTGTGACAAGTTCACAAGCACAAATCAGCACCTTCAACTGCACCTCGATGTTAAATGAAGGTCCTTCCCCCGCGTGGTTTTTTTTTGCCCCCAAAATAGGGGTGCGCCTTATACACAGGTGCGCCTTATACACGGAGATTTACGGTAGTTTTTTTTTTCCTTCCCCCCCCCCCCCCTCTTTGAAATGTCAAAGTTGGGGAGCGGCCTATGCGGCGGTGTGGCCTTATCGCCGGCAAATACGGTAGTGATCGTACGTACCTGACGCAAATTTTAACAAAATAAATGTAAATGTATATGATCATTGAGAAGAGACCAATTCAAAAGAATCATTCATGATTTTAGGTGCCTTTATAATGGTTGACTCTACATCTGAAAGTCAATGTGGCAAAAAACTGGAAACTAGACCAACAGTACGTTAACTTTCAGTTTCACTTTCTCCATTTTTTTACCAAACGTGCAGTACACATGTCTGTAATATACATGTACATGTATGTATACGCCATGACTAGTTTCAATAACAAGCCCTTGTAGTTTTTTTCAAGTGGTAAAGTGTAGGGGTAAGTCCAAAACGAGTCATGTCACATACACTGTACTAGCTTAAGCATGAGCACTCATGATTTACCAACCTGTACAAAAATGAAGTGTCAACCCTACACTTCCAAGATTGTATCTATGAAAGTACTCAAAACGTGATTAAGTGATTACATGAGTGATCTTTACAAGCCACAGAGCCATAGGCCCATATTCATAAAACCTTACTACTTGTCATCCAACTACATATATAGGCTATCTAGCACATACAGTGTACATTAGTTGAAAACTAGGCTTCATAAGATTTAATGAATATAAAGCCCTGATCCTATTTCAATTTGAAAGTGTGGTTTCTTTGATTGATCATTAACCCCTATCCTGTGTATTCACAAACAAAAGAATTTAGTTATCAGAATCGGTTTCATATCCCTTTTTAAATGGTGTAAAATGCTATCACATTTGTATCCACTATAAGCTCATTATAATTTGAGAAATAATAGCATTGCAACTATGTTCATTCCTTATGGGATGTAGTCTGCTTGGGCAGGATTAGTTCATATTGTGGCGTCATTAAAACATCATTATTTTTCTGGCGAATCTCTCTATATCCCAGATGTAATGGAGGTGGTTGTATGTATTCTTACAAATCACCTGATATGCAGTTGACCTAAAACTTGAACGGTGGCCATCTGTTACATACATGTAGCTTACCAGTTTCTAGTGATACGTTTTGCCATATTTGTGATTTTCTTTGAATGGCATATAAACATGCTTCCTTAGCAGTAAGGAAATGTGAACAAATCAACATATACATGTACGTTAAACATTGCATACAGTGTAAAGTAAATGGTACTTGATGCAGAGACATACAGTAGCTTATCATCTACATCGTCTACCAAAATAAACAACAGGTAGACCTCTGAATCCATCAATCAACTACACTGGTAGAGCTTTCTATCTATCAATCAACAACCACATGAAACTGATACCCCCCTTATCAATTTGTGTAATGAGACATTTATACTCTCTGAAAATAAACTCCACCAAGCCTTGGGTGGACACTCTCTCAGGTCATGTAAGGTCAACCAGGCCATTAAAAAATGTACATCTGTGACACAGCCCTTACCCTGTATAAGTGTTCCTTTTGTGAATGGAAGGTTATCTACATTGTACTAGTATTTGAAGTCAACGTGAATAAAAGGATAGTCTAAAATAATTAAAGTGTACCAATCACCAATACATGGTTTACTCTTGAATGTAAGGGGTTCCATGTGGCGACACCATATTCAAAGCTTCAAATTTTACTTCTACAAAAAGGTATTGCAATTTACATGTAAATAGTTTCTCAGTAAAAATTAAAATGCCTTCTAGAGACTAGTTTAAACGCTTGACGCACTGGCAAATAATATGACGCGACGGAACCCCCGTTTTCTTTTTTTTCCTTTATACTCCTGAACCGTTTCCATATACATGTACATGTAGAATGCCAGGTATCAACAACAGTTTCATTGGCAAACATAAAAAACACACCAAAAACAGAATCATTGGCAGGACGTATTATTAGTATATTAGCTGGAAATATACAGGAAAAAATATACACAGCCAGGATATGGTAGCTAGCAGATTGATTTCAGGCATAATCCCACATAACGTAATTAACGGTGTATAAACCGTTTTTTTTTATATTGAAGAAATATAATATATTATTGATTATTGAAGATATATTGAAGAAATATATTGTGTAATCTTGATTAATGATATTTTTCGAAAGCAAATTTTATGTAAGAAATCGTCTGTAGAGTGATTTCAGATAAGTACATTGTATACTGTATGTGTAAAATAATCACTAGATTGAATAATAGTAGACTTACCTCATTGTGTCTCTTCTGAAGAGCCGTGTATTCCAGCTTCATGTCGTTCTCTCTGTACTCATGTCTTGAAACTGAAAAATAATAAAAACAGAAAAGTTCATATTATTCCTACTTTTTATATGTACAATTATGGTATGTTACATATCCACCATAAGCAGTCTATTAATAATAATTAGATTAATTTATATAGCGCATCTTCTATATAAATATATACTCTACTGCGCTATGATGAATCCAGTAATAACAGTTTTCTATTTTACAGGCGCACAATTTAAAAAACAACAACCTGTATTTAACTATTCTTATGTGGCTGTCACTCTGGTATCATTATACAACGTAACTTTGACAAAATATATTTCACCATTCATGAGTGAAATAAAAGAGGAAAAAAATATGAAAAGGGAAAGAGGGAATGATAAAATTCTCATCTAAGCGATTGGCAAAGATTTTATATCACTGCATAAAATAAATCAATACGCATACATGTACCCGAACCCAACTACAAAATGTAAATGTATTTGATTAAAGTTAAAGTGCCAAATTCTTTAATACAATAATTTAAACACTCACCATTAATTTGTATTGCTTTTCCTTGTATACTTTAGATGGCAAGGAGAAAGCTTACTTTCTAAAATATTGAATATGTAGAAAACTAGTCAATTCAGATTATTATTATTTTGTACCCACATGTTACCATAGACCAGTATTTGATGTTTTTAGATGCATGTATGTACTTATTCGTGAACTCAGCATGACAGTGCAAATATATCAACCGCAATATAAAGGCTATATTTTTATTTAAACAACACTAATGCAACACTACACAATCGCCTTGGCAGAATGCATGAATAAAAGATATTCCACCCACATGTATAGATCTATTGAAAGGGATATCGTGGAGAACGGCAGCTCTGCAATTCAATTCAATTTCATTTCATACTTGTAGCTCCTAATAAATTGATGTCCATTACCAAGGAATGTCATTTGTCATATAACAAAGACAGGTAGTCAATTCTGTGAAAGCTACTTTTTGGAATGTGCATTTTTAAACGATTTCACTCAAGCATTACAGTGTTTCATTTACTTTTTTCAGAACTTTGATATAAGCATGCTTAATCTAATTTCATATCACAGAACCAGGAAGCTGTAATGAATGGAGATCCCGTCCAAGAGGCCCCTTTGAAGCCATCCGTGGCACCGCGCGTCCTTTGTTTCCCCTACCGTAATCCCCTTAATCCCCCTCCGAAACCGTACAGCTCCCTAGTAGCACTATGTCCTCCCTTTCCACACACAGCCCAGCCCAGTGAGCACGGCGGCTTTTGCTTTGTGGGCCCGTATTTGGGGTGAATAGTGGTGATAACTTGACAACTTCTAGCCCTCAATCAATAAATGCGCAAACATATAACACAATTTCATTTAGTTCTTTAGGAAGATAAACTTTTAGACTACCTTCCTAGCTATGTACAAATTTCGGAAATTTTCGGAAAATGTCAATAATTAGATGAGAAAAATCATGATGACGAAAACCTTTCATTCGCTCTAACTCACGATTTCCTTGGTCGATTTCGCTGGTTGAAATGGCCATGTCTTCAGTAGAGCTATCCGAGAACGGAAAAAGCATTTGATGACTAATATAAAGTTGCATTGGTCTTATGTTGTTAATTCTGTATTTTATATGTTATAGCTAAATACATCTTCACTGAACATGACTTAATTTTTCGGTGCCACGCATGGCTTCAAAGCTCGATGCTTGCATATATTTACAAAAGAGTGAATAGAGAACTTAGGGAAGCAGATGGCGTTGCGTAACATTTCGTACTATTTGGAATTCCAGAGAGGGACTGTGCATTGATATGGACAGCTGTTGATGGAAATGATGGTTGGAGAGGGTTACATTTCTTTTTGTTAAGCCAGGTTAATCTTGAATATTTTTCACTCAGAAAATTCTTTCGAGACGGTATCTCCATTCATTACAGCTTCCTGACAGAACCAAGTATTTTACAGTGCTGAATGTGAAGCATTTATATGTTGTTCATCATTATATAATTTTATAAATTTCTATTCAAACTTACAAAGGCAAAATTATACAACAGTATCATAACAAAACTACTTAAAAATATATGTCGTTATATACATTTGTGATTAACTTTGTGAGGACAATAATTTCTAATTATAATTAGTATAGGCCTGTATTTTGATCTCCAAAACACAAGGTTATTTCTCCATTCACAAAGTGAACAGACATGTTATGGCAGGACATGTGTATAGGGCTGATATGGCCAGATAATTTCACCCCCTAATCAGTTCAATTTCCCAACTAATATCCTGATTAACTCACATAATACATGTACATTATATCCCATTCATGGCTGGTTCAATGTCATCTCTGCCAGGAGCTCACATGCAAATGGTATATTTTGGGCAAAATTTCCCCCCTTTTCCTCTTTCTTGTTTTTTAGGACAAGCGTCAAAATGCTATTCCAGCTGTCACATATATTGCACACAATTGTAGGCCTACAGTGTAAAATAAAAGTATAAATGCATGTACTGTACACTACTTTTCCATGAATTTTTAAAGTCCATCATGGAAAATTGATCAGACTAGTGAATCAGGATAGAAATACACATGTAAGATTTGCTCAAATACATGCCATACTGTACATGTACATCGCAGTACTGTACCTTATTAGCAATTTATTGAAGGAATTTTTAATGAGTAATAAAACATACCAGTATTTATTTGTTCACATGTAGAAATTTTTTGAAATGTTACAAATACAATGATAGTCCGAAAAATCCTGTAGATAAATTGAAAGTTCTGAATAGTTGGCCGAATTATTTAAATATCTTTAGCTGTTTTCCATACAAAAGTACAATGCTCATGTACAATTTAAATGTACAGGTCTAAATTTCCCTTCCCCTAAAACATTGCACTTTGCTTCAACCTAATTTATGCACAAAAAACACACTCAAAATAATCTCTATGACGTACAAATTGATCATATGCATAGAGCCTATTATGCCCATTCGCAAAGCTACTCCATAATTGCAGCCGGCCCCATTCTCTTCAATTTCAATCTCTGGTGGATTTCTCAAATTCGGCCAAACAAAAAATGGGGAAAGGAGAGAGTGAAGGCATATTATGTGAAAGAATGAGAAATGTGGCAAGAAAGAGGATGCTCAGTCACGTGAGGGAGGGATCGAGAGCAAAACGTAGAATATCACCTCAGTTTACAGCCATTCCCACTGCCAGTGACCTCAGCTGCACTAAGTGCATTTACACTGCACCCCAAAATCATTGATTTTCTCACATTCCAGTGTACCATCTACCAGCAAACAACGAAAAATTAAAATTAGTGCTGTAGTCAAACGTTTAATCGTTCGGTATCCGACCGCCCATGGCGGATTCCGTTTTCAATTGGACGGTTTCGTTTTCCCGATTTTTTTTTTTTTTTTTTTTTTTTTTTTAATAATTTTTTTTTTTTTTTTTTTTTTTTTAATAATTTTTTTTTTTTTAATTTTTTTTTTTAAGTTTCGATTTATGCCCCTCCACCTGGCACTATGCCTGGCAATGTCTCCCAGCTCAGTAATCTGTGTGTTGACCAAAACTAGAACAGAATACTAGAACAACACTCCAATTTGTCTGTCATCTTGGTTTGAAAGTAATCTTTGTAATAGATCTCATCATCTCAATATGTAGTTTATAATAATAATTCATCCAACTTTTACACAAGGTTCTATCCTAGGTCCTCTACTGTTTTTAATTTACATTAATGATATTACACATTCTTCTAAAAACGACATTGTTACTATTATTTGTTACAAGTTCACAAGCACAAATCGGCCCCTTTAAATGCATCTCGCAGTTAAATGAAAGCCCTTCCCGCTTTTTCACACGGACCTGCTGCCGAGTCGGTAAAAAAAAAAAAAAAAAAAAAAAAAAAAACGATTTTTTTTTTTTTTTTTTTTTTTTTTTTTTTTTTCTTCTTTTTTTTAAATCGTTTAACCGAAAACCGTTCGGTTTTGACTGGCGGTTAAACGGAATTGGAGATATCCGTGATGTTACAGCACTAATTAAAATCCAAAAATCCACCTCTTAACTTTTTTTTTTAAATGCCTGCAAAATTTCACAGATTTTTTCAGTGTAAATGCCCCCCTCTTGAAGCTTTGGTACGATTCCATTTTTTGCTCATGTGACTCTCCTAGCTTCCGTGCTAAAGCGTGAAGGGCAGCGCCAAGTGGGGCATGCGCACTACTCACCAATAAATCGGAATGAGCAAATACCAACGTTTTTTATGGGTTTTCTCCAGTAGTGTGAATGGCAGTTCAAAAATCTATGATTTCAAGGAATGGTGTTTGGGCTGTGTAAATGAGCCTTTTTTTTTTTTACTTTTAGGTGAACACGACAGTTTCATAATGTACAAGAAGTTGGCCATTTGATTTGCATGATGCTTCATGATTTTTCACAAACAAATCTAGAATGTAGGAATGATAAAGGCTTAAATGTACAAGTGCATGTACCGGTATGTCTTGAACACGTATGCTCTGCTGTTGATGGCATAATATTGTACTAAGATTTATATTTAGTAAAATTACTATCACAGATTTACAAATTATACAGTGAATACTAATTGAATTAGAGTTCAGACAACATTAAAACACATACTGTGTGCATGTGTACATGTGCGATGGAAAATGAGCAATAAAGGAACTACTAGTGATTGGGAATTATTGCTACCGGTATTTAAAATAACTACCCTCATTATTTTTCCAATATTTCTTCTATTTTGTTATTGTTGTTGTGTTGTTGTTTTAGTTTTTAGGCATATATCATTCAATTGTGAATATTTTCATTCTCTCCTTCATAGCCTACATGTACAGTAGCTCTCACTTTGCCTTTGCCAACATGAGTAATCTTCGTTGACAAGCTGAAGTGCGGTATGATCAGAGATATACACCTGTACTGCACGTAATGTTTACAGCATCAAAGATAGATAAATCAACTAAATGGGAATCATTGCTATCTAAATTAATTACGCTCATTATCTTGCTGATATTTCTTCTATTTTAT